TCGTGTCGCTAGGTTTATAACCTAGTAGTGTTTGCACCGACGCCCTGGGAGGTTTGGTACAGTATGCAGGGTGCTGTTAATGGGGAATGGTGGTACCGGTACCAAGGACTGCGTGATTTGTATTGTACTATACTGTGCCGATACTTGATATTGGCAAGTTCGACCGTGCAGCCAGTCGCACTATCATGTTTGTATCGAACTCGCAACGCCATGGTAGACTGTGGTGTGGTATGGTACCTACAGCTGCTCGTGATGCTATTCAGATGGAATAACAGCCCTAATCACGCGCACGCCATACTGTAGTACCAGCTTTCAGTCCACACACAGTAATTTGCAGGAAATAGGTAAACATGCAGAAGTTTATTCATTATGCCGCACCAACAGCACGCACTCCATGGATGTAATTTGACGCTGAGATTACAGGAACGGTGTCGATATGCGGGAGGAAAAGACACAACTGTTAGAAGAAGGATGATGTACCTGTCTTGGACCTCGAATTTGTCAGGGAGTTGGAAGGGAGCGGCTGTTACTCAAGGGGGATCCGTGTGTGCGGTTTTTCTCTGTTCTGGCGGCCCGTGATGGCTGGTGTGAGGGGTCCACAGAAGGGAATTCCTGATCGATAATGCAGGTGGTGATCGTTGTGGAACAATAAGGGCGGCTGGTTGGGCTGGGGTGGTGGTGGGTGTGTAGGTTAGGATGGTGCTTACCAACAATCCAAATGCTTACTGTGTATTGTGGAGCTGATACTTTGCTCTGGAATTGGTGTGTTGACACTAGGTTGATACTTTACTACCAGAGCAACAGCTTACCAGCGAGTTAATATTCTACCAGCAGAGCAACGTCTTACCGCCGATTGACATCTTCATACCGAGTTGACATGAAAAATGTAAAACTCATCATGCGGCCGCATATGCCCCTTTCTCGCTACTTGACACACTATATATTCCCCTTTGTAGGAAATTACATCAACAAACCCAGCTCCATCATACTGTACCCTACATACCAAGATATCTCCTCGCTACGACAATGCAATTCCAACAAGCTCTTTACACAGCTCTTATGCTGTCTTTGTTTCCCTCCCAATCACAAGCCGAAAGCAACCTACACGTGCTAGCGATCGTTGCTGTTGGCGGCAACACAATAGATGGATGCTTTGAGGCTCTTAAACAGCACACCCCTCTCTACATTCGTACAAATTCCAAGGAAAAGAGAAGTTATGCACCACCGGGAAGGATTTCGAGCGGATGACCAACATACCCAAATCTTCCAAATGGGTTCCATTTTACTGCATTGGACATGTTGATACGTATTACTTGTCAGGTCAGGCCCCAAAATTCCCCATTACTTTGTACATCAATGGCCGATATGGGGATGTGATATCCGAGATTACAATGCAGACGCGGAATCCTGCATAACCGGAATAGAAAGTCATTTCTGTAAGGATCTGGGCTTTTCGAAGGCCGATGCAAGCTCTAGTGAAAATGAGGTCTACCCAGCTTAGTTGCGCTCCTCGATGATCAAGCTGCATCTTGCGACGTTGCGCTTCATTGTGATTTTGGGGTTGCGCAGCTGGAGGCTGTGGCTGTGGCTGGTGCGGAAGGGAGATGAAGGTTTCCGGCCTAGGATGTTTTCGCAAGATGAAGATGTGGAATTTGCTGCGACCAATGGAATTATAGTATTTCACTGTTTGTCAATGTCGAATGATCGGGGACTTCTGGCCTGTGCCTGGCGGGTGTGATGGCTCGTAGCTGTCAGTGCATTGCATGGAGCTGTGTGGAAAACAAGGCATACGAGACATATCCACAGATCAGGCGACCGCAGTCTCCAAGCCACCAGAAAAAAAGAACACATGAAGCATCTCAATTCGGATATGTTTCCAGATCGCACTACTACCTTCAGACCTGCGCATTCGATCTGGCAGTCTTTTTGTGAAGTGGCAAACACGTTCGTCAGCTGTTGCCGGGTCCGCGACAAAAGGATCTGAGAGATACATCTACTTGCCAGTTTGGTGCTTCGCCGACGCCGCGCAGGAGACGCTGAGCCTGGGTCGCAGGCAGGATTTTCAGGCCACCCTTGTGTATATGTGGCAGCAGCCATATCATATGTACTCTAAGCGCAAACCAACATTACCCGGTCGCTCAGAAAAGTGCCTTCATAGGCAAGGTAATTCCCAGGTTAAAGACCTGCAGCAACTGACATATCTCCTCACTGGCGCCAATCTAAGTAAGAGCTGGACCTTTACTGTATGAATGTCTCACGTATATGACTCGTAGGGCGCCCAGCATGCGATGCGAATCCTTTCCACCCATCGTAAACTGGCTTCACGGAACTCGCTGCCCGAAGGCCCAGGAGGCAAATATGGTGTGGAGTCTTCGGACTATAACCTGGAAGGGCGTAGTATGCAAGGACACGGAGCTGGATGTCGAAGCCTATCCGGAAGGAGATATGCGAGTAAGGCCACCGCATCGATTGTGCAATCCATCCTCCATGATCCTCGTGAAGTATGTACATGGACCCAAGGAGTTTCACTGTGAATGAAAGAATGCCTGCGAAAATCTCCAGTCTGCTGGTACGAACAGTGAGTTTGTTACGTGCTTAATTTCCGTCAAATTGTCGAGTTGGTGGAGAAGATTTCGTTTGTCATTCACGAGACCGTCAGGTTCCCAGCATGCTTGGCAGGGACAGCCGCCTACGCTAACCCAACTAGGCAAGGGTTGAAACACGCCCTGAGCCTCTCCAGTGTCGACTACACCCACAAGACAACCACAGCACTCCTGGACAGAGTTGCTTCCATCGCCACCAACACCCGCGTCTCGCTGTTTCGAAACGCACATGCAAGTCCGTGCCGAGACCTTCACCAGCTGATCTTACTCAGATTGGCTGTCAGTTGGTCAGGAGTGGACCGCTCAGCTCCACTTCCCTAGACCTTCGGAAGTCTGGACTAAGATGCGGGTCGCACAACGGCTCCCAGGCGCTCACTATGAATCTACTGATCCGGGAAGGTAGACAAGCATGGTGGGGGGGGGGGGGGGGGGGCGGTGGTGCCTTGGTTAAGTCGCTTGTGTATATTATAAAGGTAGGATACCGCTCATTAGGGAAGAAGGCATCACTTCCGGTGGCACACATTCTCTCGTGACAAGCCAGTCTTTGTCGACATTCCTTCCACCATCACTCTTTTTTTGTACAAAAGCGCAGGGCCGTTTTTCTTCTTTCAGCTCGCTGGGTCGTGTATCCTACGTCACTTCCAAAACCCACAACTCCTTTGAGTGCGGAACACTGTTCACCGACACAGTATTCACGGGCTGGATTCCTGCACAGCGTCCCTTGACTTCGTCGGATACTTAACATCGCTTCCTCGGATCACGCCTCATCATCCAAGTTCTTCTTTCTATCAGAACCACTTTCTTTTGCAATTCTGCCTACAACCAAAAGCCAGCAATCACTCTGCATTTCAAAAGTAGAAGACACACTTATCAACACAATGTACATGAACGCTCTATCAATGCTCGCCCTGGCAGGCGCTGCGCAGGCCCATATGAGCTTGTTCTATCCAGCCCCTCTGGGTGCTGCTCCTTCAGTCAACAAGCAAGAAACTGAGCTCGACCCAGAGTTCAATTTCCCGCTAGGCTGCTGCGGACCTGACGGTGGTCCTTCTCGGCCCTCTCCTGGTCCATGCCGCGGTCACCTTGACAAGTTTGATGTGGAGGATGCTACCGCAACTTGGACTTCTGGTCAGGAGGCGTACTTTCAGCTTACCGATTTCGATTATGACCCGGCTGTGCCTGGATCCACCCATTTTGGAGGTTCATGCCAGATTGGCTTCTCCGCCGACAAGGGAAAGACCTGGAAGCTGGCCGCATCTTACCACGGTGCCTGTCCACATGCAACCGCCGACGGATCTCCAGAGGCTCAAACCTTCGATTTCATTGTGCCCAAGGGCATGCCCGAAGGTGATTACCTCTTTGGATGGAACTGGCTCAATCGCGAGCATGAATCCTTTGAAAACTGTGCCAAAATCGAGATCAAAGGCAGTACTCCATCGACTCCCAGCGAGCCTGCCCAGTCCAGCGCAGCGCCGGAATACCCTGATGACTCGTCTCCTGAGCCACAGACGCCAAAGGAAGACGTGCCAGTCTCCCCTCCTGCTAGTCCTCCTGCTGGCCCTCCCGCCGTTCCCACCCCGATTCAAGCTGAGAATCCTGTTGTGACCACAACCGTTGTGAAGACCATCTACGCTCCCGCGCCAACAGATGCACCAGCTTATGAGAACAACCAAGGCCCAAGTGGACAAGATGCAACTCACTGGTCTCGCCGCCCTCACCCCGAAGTCGCCGAAGGAGTCCGCCGCTACGAAGTCGATGGCTCTCGTTGTGAATGCCGTCGCGAGGAGCCTTCTCTAGCAGTTCGCTGCTCTTGCGACACAGCTCCCACCAAGCGCAACGAAGTTGAGCACAAGGCCCGCCGACTCCATCGCCGCACTCTATACAAGCGTTTCGATGCTTGCGACTGGAACACTGCTCCCCCAATGGAGACCTCGTACTACACCGTCGACGCAAAATGCGCACCCAATGCCAAAAAGAACAAGCCCGAGAGCGATGACTTTGAGCTCAAGTGGGACGTTTCCTGCGGTGTTGTCGAGGGCGGCAGCGATTACCCTCTCAAGCTCATGGAGTGCGACATGTTTGGCGCTTAAGCTCGGCTTGTAAAACCTGCCAGGTTCCTTTCCATATTCCATCTTCTTCTTTTGCTACATACTCCTCTTCTTCACGCCCATCTTCTTTTACATTCACTTCATTCGTTCATCATGTTTTCTGAACGCTGGCCCTCTTCTTGAAACTACATTCGTTGACATGGTCAAGTGGCTGCTGGATGCGCCCTGGTTACCTCTTCTTCTTTCAATTCGGCCTTGATTATGATTATCCTATCGTGAGCAGTTTGCATGGGATTGCTGTTCAAGCATGTAGGGGGTTTTATGGATTGTAGCGTTCGGGCGGGTTTTTTCTTTTTTCCACATCACTCATGCATAGATGAATATCTTATGACCACGGTGCGATTTGGTATGGAAAAGGCATATACATATGGTGCATATACGGGCGGGAGGCATTCACTCGCTCAATCAAAGCAAGCATTTTTGATTTTACACGAAGAGTTCTGCTTTTTGCAATCTGTAAAGTGACGTGAAGATTGGAGATGACATCATACTGCCATCTTGTTGGGCCTAGGTTTTAGACTTGGTGTCGAGTGTTTACGACTGAGGGAGAGGTTTGGGGGTTGTCACTAACCAAAGCGAGAGCAGAGTTAGTGTAACACATGTATGCCTGTGACAACAAAGGACTTCTCAAATCATTCCAAGCAAAGTCATAGTGCACAATGTCTATGTATACACATTGTCCAAATATACATATAACAAAGTGTCATCGTACCACAGCGAAACTAGACTTAAAGCCGCGACTCTGATTCCTCAAAAAGTTACAGCGACGACCCGTCATTTCACTGCCACAAATTGGACAAACTGAACATGATGAAGACTGATTAACAGCAGCAGATTGGCAAAGAAGGATACATACACACACTCTTTCTCCCACTCTTATGCGTTTATCTAAGTAGAATATTTATGTTAGGTCAACATCGAGTTACGGTCGCTATCATTGGCACAGAGGGTTCGCTGTCTCCAAGATGCAGGGAATGTGTATATATGCTCATGTTACCGGTAACGCAACGTGAATCATGGGCACACTGTCGCAGCTTTCGAGATTGCTGTGCTGCCAAACAAGTCGTTGGATGCAATTTACCAGAACGCAGGATGAGCTAATTATAAGAACGGCTTACAACTGCTGCTGGGACCTACATTCACCGAAACAAAGGAGACTGAACAATGAAAAACAGAGCGTGGTGTTGGATGTGGCGAAGTTGGCGCTGGACAAAAGCATGTCCACTTCAAGTCTAGCTCTTTCTAGCAATGTCTCTCCTACTTTCTCTTACGTTATGAACAAACTCCACTCAGCAATCCTTTAGTCAACATTGTTATAATCTCCATTAGTACGAATCATGTCACATACCCGCCCAGTGCCCAAAGCTAGAATGCAAACCTTACAGATGCCATCATGTATCTGTCGCACCTGTGCACGTCATCTGCATCATGGGGCGTGCGAACTGGTGAGGGGTTTTCTTGGGCGCATCCTTTGTAAAATGCTTAGCCATCACGAAGCTTGTTTGCCAACAGTGCAGTATACTCCAGGTCGTTCGGTAAGGGAAATTACAACTCTTTCTGGCCGTGTTTCGGGTGTTTGTATCGGTGTGGTTACTGAGCGGTAGTCATCTGCACAGCGCACAGTCTCCAAGGAAAAGGTGCATGGGGAAGGGCTAGCTTACAAACGAGATGTTCAGTGCCATGCCCTGAGGGAGTATTTCACAAATATATAACGTTCGTTGCTCGCCATTGGATTCTGGATCGCTACTTGTTTCGAGGATTGAATCTTGTAAGAACTGGATTCCAGCGCGAATGGCTGTGTGAAATGGCACAATCGACGACAACGCCGCGATCTTCGGTGACTCTGAGCCTAGAGGGCCAGCAGAGTAACAAGGCTCTCCCTCCCTCCACGCAGATACCCGGCGATAATATGGGGAGAACCAAAGAAGAGCCATCCAATGGTACCAATGATTGCGTTACTTGGAATGGTCCAAAAGATCCCGAAAACCCATTCAACTGGGCATTGTTGAAGAAATGGAGAGTCACAATTCTCGCCTGCTTCATGACCTTTGTCGTGCAAATCAACGGGACAATGATGACTTCCGCAGCTGAGCAAATCAACCACAGCTTTCATGTGAGCGACCAGGACTTTCCACATTCCTACTGGCCAGTGTTGAGCTGGAATTTGGGCGGTGCAGCTGCACCTCTACTGGGTCTACCGTTGATGGAGAACTTTGGAGTACGGTGGAGTTATATGGTACATACTCTTGCATGCTATCTAGACTATTCGCTTATGGAAATAGGTGATCTATGCAGTACTAATCTTGTTCATTATTCCTCAAGCTCTTGCTGATAACTTCGCTACATTGGTCGTGACGCGAATCATTACCGGCTCATGTTCTGGTGTATTGGCGAATATCACCTCTGGAATAGTCAGCGACATCTGGTTGGGCGGAAGGGCCAAAAGCTTCGGGACGAGCTTGTACATATGGTGTCTTCTCGCAGGACTCAGCATGGGTCCCGTATTTGGCAGTCTTGTTGTCCAATATACTACCACATGGCGATGGTACGTCTACCTCTCCCGTAATCACTTTTAACGGAACTATCTCCCTCACAAACTATCCAAGGGTTTTCATCTCCCAGATTATCTTTTACGTCGCGCTCATCCCAATCCTCCTCCCCTCCCTCCCTGAAGTCCGACCTGACGTAATCCTCACACGCCGCGCTCGGAAACTACGCAAGCTTCAAGACCCCAACGCACCACGCGTCTATGCCGAAGCCGAGAAACAGCATCTTCGCCTCCGAGACATCCTCCGAGAAACTCTAATCCGACCATCACATATGCTATGTACAGAAGGCGTAGTCCTCGCCTTCGGCCTCTGGTCTGCATTCTGCATCGGCATCGCCTTCATGTTCACCCAATCCATTGTGCAAGTCTACTCCGCCCTCTACAGCTGGGACTTCTTCGCCACAGGCCTAGTCCAAGCCGCCATCGTTATCGGCGAAGTCATTGGCCTGGTTGCATCACTGTGCCAGGACCATTTGTACTTTGCGTCTGCGAAACGCAACACGGAGATGCCAGGCCGTCCTATCCCAGAAGCACGACTCTACCTTAGTATCCCAGCATCGTTTATCGGGCTTGCAGGCGGATTCTTTTACTTTGCATGGACGTCGTATACTGATATACCGTGGATAGTGCCGAGTATCGCGCTTGCGTTTGTGGGCTTTGGTATGTTTACTTGCACTGCTGCGGTGACGACGTATGTGCTCGATGCGTATGCAAAGTACGCAGCTAGTGCCATCGCAGGCATTGCGTTTCTCGAAAACTTGATGGCTGCGTTGCTGCCGTTGGCGACGCAGAGTATGTATCGGAGTCTTGGGTTTCAGTGGGCGAGTAGTCTTTTGGGATTTGTCGCGCTGGGGTTGAGTTGCATTCCATTGGTTTTGTTGAGGTATGGGAGGGTGATTAGGGGGAAGAGTTCGTTTATGAGGGAGGCGGCGTATGAGGTTGAGTAGACCTTTTCTAATGTGAGATGAGGCGTTCCGGGTGTGGAACTTCTTGAAGAGGTGAATCATACACAGGGAACAGGAGAATAGTGAGATTTTTGGATGAATTTAATACAAGTTCAAAATGTCTTGTGTACTAGAATTTTTCCTGGCTGGGTGTGTTCACATTCATCTGTGTTGATATCATGGGATTTAAAAAATACTTACACAGTGCAACCACAATCCTCGATATGCCTTGACATTCTACACTTCCTCCCCACCGCTAATCCCATCTCCCATTCCCCCTCACCCACCAGCAGCCTCCCACCACAAAACTCCAACTCCAACCCCAACCCAAGCCCAGCGCCCTAGGTAAAAACCCAATACCAACCCACCCCCCTAAGCCACCAACACCCTACCCTCCCTCGCACACCCCTCCACACTGCCACATACAAACGATGTAGCACAACATGTGACACAACGGGCCAGTGCATTGTGCGAAACCTTGGGGTTGCAGTTTTAATAGCTGTGGGTTGGGAAAGAGGGGAGAGCGTGGTGAAGAGGGGGGTGATTGTGTAGACTCGGTGTAGTGTAGCGGGAAAGCTGAAGTAAAATGGTCTGTGTGGAAGGGAGATGTGGATGTATATATTATCTCGCGGTTGTTGGAGTCTTGAGACGGGGCAAGGGGGTTTGCATGGGGAATGGATGTTTGGGTGTAATTTGGAGGTGTGGGGGTAGATGTGTTATGTGTATTATAGGTGTTGGTGTGTAAAATATTAGTGAGGTAAGAGAGGGAATAGGGGTTTGCGCTCGGAAAGATTATGTCAAAACTCAATTAATAACAATACCAATATTCATACTGAATACTGGATACGAAACAACATCACATCGAAAAGAAATCCCGGGGTTTCGTTATTAGGGGAAATAAAGAAATAAGACTGTCCACTGCCCGACAGGATTAGACGGGTAATCGTCGCACAATCCATACCTTCGGTTCCCTACCTACCACAGAGCGCACAAACTCTGTGTCATGTCCAAGACTAGACGCAGCAAACAAACTCCTCCTCCCCCTTGCCCCCGACCTCTCTCACACCATCCTATGCAACTCATTAGAACTGCGATCCAGCCGACGATTGACCGCGCCCAGCACCGCCTTCAAGATACCCGCACCCGTAAGCTGCGCATTATCCTCGCCCGTAAACGGCACCGTATCGACGATATCCCGCAACTCGTCTGTGCCTGCAACTTCCCTGAGCCCATCGTCGAGCTGCTTCAGGTGTTCGCGGGCGCCGGGCTCCTTGCCGACTTGGAAGAACTGGATACCAAGCTGCCAGGCGGGGGCGTCGAGGCGGTCGAGTTTCTTTGCTGCTTGGATGATGGGGGATTCGACGTCGTCGCTGGGTTCGCCGTCGGTGATGACGATGATGTTGACGGGCTTGGTGTTTTCTGGATCCCGTTCGTAGCGCTGGAGGTAGGGTTTTAGGATCTTGTTGAGGCGTTGGCCGGTGGGTGTGGCGCCGCGGGGGCGCACGGTTTGGAAGATTTCAATGATGGTGGAGGTATAGGTGATGTGGGAGTGCATAATTGAGTCTGGGTGGTTGAGGAAGTAGATGTCGATTCCGTCGGCGTCACGGGCCGTGCAGATGGGCGTTATCATTTCGAGGGCTGCCGCGGTTTCTTTCCACGAGCGGCCGGCCATGGAACCTGAGTCGTCGATTAGGAAAACAGTGTCGAAGGATTTGAGAAAGGCGTAAGGGTCCTGGTCATTTGAGGTTGCTATTGAGGCGGAACGAGGGGCGTTCATTGGCGAGGCTGAACGGGGGGTATAGGCAGGTGGTGCTTCGGTAGAGGAGCTAAAGGCGTTCATCGTTGAGCGATCTTATGAGCCGTTAGTAGATGAAGAAACTGGTGAAATAGTAGCAAATTGAGACCTGCGCGCTTTACATACTAGGGTCCGGTCTACGAGTCGCCGGTGAAGAAGAAGGCTGATTATCAGATGTCGGTGGTGCCAGGCCGCCAGTACGCGACCCAGCAGCTTGATTGCTGACCGGTAAGTTTGGCGTCATGTGTTTCGAATTACCGGACGTTGGATCGTTATTGGGGTTTGACTTTCGCTTTGACAAAGCTCTCTTAAGACTGCCGAACATTGTGAATGGGGTCAGTGAAGAAGCAGCTGTTTGCAGAATATCAACTACATAGGTAGGTATCTCAGGCACGGGTAGGTGCGCACGCCAGTCATTTGTACCTTAGAGTCAGATACCAACATCGGAAATGACTGGTTGGGAGTTTGACTAGGAAGGCTGCTATGCGTGATAGCGGAAGGCGCTGTGCTGGTTCCATGGTTCGTTACATTTCATGATACCGGTAGTCCTTGACCAAACGCGGATATGGCCAGCGATGTGAATATAATTAGGAGGTCTGCCTTAGGAAAGCCTTTGTAAAACATTGCTAGGGACCTTATTCGGCAGGCTGTAAGTTCAAACAAGCGAGACTGTCCCTTCGTGCCGCAGCCCAGTTTGTGAAGCACTGTCTGAGTAACAGGTCCTGACACAGCCTCATCTCCAACCTTGGCCCGAACCAACGTGTCAGACCAATGGGGCGCAACTCGTGCCCTTCATAGCCTATGCGCGGGGTCGCATAGAACACAACCTTTAGGCAGAGTACATGATTTAGCGGCACGTCCGTACCGTATACTGTTAGTATTCGCTTGCGCTGCGTCCAATGCAAGCGAAGAGCCATCCCACCCTCTTGGAGAACAATCAACGCATGCGCATAACAGGTGGCATTCTTCCAGCAGGTTATCTCATCCAGAGGTTGGGCCATGGTAGAGTTACTAGCTTCTGCAACGGCCAAGATAAGTGCTGGTTAGGCACACATGAGGCTGATTCGGCTGTCCTTCTAAGATGTGATTATTTGACTGAGGAGCGAGAATGACGTTGGAAAGCCATTGTCAGTGAATCTGAACGAGCCTCTAGGATACATATGACCATTGCGTACCCAATAGCAAACTCATACGGTTGAGGCTAAACACGTGGCGGCCACATTATCGTGGCCTAAATATTCGTATTGCGGCTGTGAGAGCGTCATCAGAGAGACGGGCTTACCTCGATCTAGAAGATGCTGACAGCTCTTCGTGATGACTACCATCTTCCTAAAACGAATTTGCCCTCCAGTGCCTGTCCACCGCCATATACATGTCTCTTACCGCAACATGTCGACCGAGACAGTCACTCGGCTTTTGCTGAGGATTTCCTTTGCGCGCATGACCTGCAGTCTGACCAGAGAATATAGACCTAGTGTGCACCCACATCACCGGTCTCTTCGCCAGAGACCACGCGTACCTGTCTCTCTCGTTGTGCCAACACTCAGCACAGATGCCAATGTCCAGAGTTCCAGTCTCCAGACTCAAATGATGCTGAATTAGGTCAAGCAGTGGGATGAGTCGTGATCGCAGACCGCAGTGCGCGTGATTCATGTCGACCTGGTAATTTGAGCATTGCCGGAATGAGGTTAGGAGACGCTCGATGTCACCGAGGTAATATACTGGCTCGGCGTTGTCGTAGATTTTACCTTGCAGGCGCACGGTGTCAATTTTGTGGAAGAAGCGGACCATCTCACCGAGTTGAAAGGAGTCGCATTGGATCGAGGTGTCGTAGCCAAGTTTGCATTGTCGCTCTCCGGTAGTGTAAAGCTTGAGAAAATGCGCCTGGAGAGAATTGATCGTCTCTAAGATGTACTCTCGTCGCTGGATCATTTCCTCCTCGATCCCATTTGGTATGTCCCACCACAGCGCCTTGGCGTGATCCTCCTCCGTCTCTGGCCGCCACTGCACCGAGTCTCGTATTACGAGATGCTTCGAGTACTTTGCCACCCACATGGGCATATCAAAGTAAAGGCCAATAAACAACTTCTGACGTACTTTCTCCTCTGTCAACGGGGCCGATTTGCCTTTCGGTTTTGCATCGAGTAGGGCCAAGTTGTATCGTTTGTGCACAAATTTGGACAAGCATGCCACCGCATCGAAACGGTCGGCTACAACGGCGAGGTTGGCTAAATTGGCAATGGGCAGTTTCGCTGCGTCGAGATTCAGACCGTGTAAAGCGCATAAAAAGTCTGCGACTAGTCTTATAAGCGAGGTAGTCTTGGTGATTCCTGTTCTGCCCACGTTGACCACAGACACATGTGGTAGCTTCTCTACTGGGACATCTGCCATGGTCGCGTGCCCACCCATTCTCAAGGCTTCCAGGGCCGCAGTCAAATGCTGTCCCTCGCTGAAGCGGTCGCTGAGCAGGTTCTCAAAGTATCTTGACTTTTCTTGCAGGACTTTTGAATCTACGCGGTATGAGAAACGCGGTCCTTCCTCTTCCTGGGCGACATCGAGGATGAAATCGCCGCCCGGGGCGATGATCAACGGTTCGTCCTCATCCGACATGGTAATTGATGATGTGTATGGCTCCCCAAGGAGGGCGTGTTCTCTCATCTCATGGATATGGCCAGAACATAGTGGCTTGATTTGAAGGCGATAGGTCGTGTTGGTGTATGAGGAAAAGGCCCCGGAGACGTGGTGTTGTTCTGCTGATCAAAGCCGTTTGATGACTGAGCCAATCGGAGGCCATTTCCGCCCAGCACATCTGCCAGTACCGGTATGTGGACCGCACCATCACGACAACGGAATCACGACTTTTCAATCCTGCGTCAAGGTTGATCTGGGGCATAGATGTTCGATTGTTTGCAACTGATATTACGTCGACATTCTTTGTTTGTGAGAACGGAGCAATCATTGCACCTCGTACGGTAAGCACTATGGTCAGTTAGACACCTACCACACGTTTTCCCCTCCAAGAATGACACGATACCGGTATACTCTCTTTCCCGTGGGTACATCCTGTAAGGAGAGTCTATAAAACGGGCGTATCATAGAACAGAAGTTGAGTTTTATATACCTTATATTTCCATTCACCACTATATCTACTTGTTGTCTGCATCCATTAGTCTTCGACCCCATGTCTGCCAGATGGTGAGCAATTTTTTTTAGGTACGGTAATATCTTTAGTACATACTATGTATTCATTCTCTTTCCCCTTGTTCGTAATGAAAAGAAATCTCCACTCAAATCCATATCTCAAGGATGTACATCTCACGAGCGTCTTGACAACTAAACCATAAGCCTTCGCACATTTTCCACTGAGGATCAGATGGCCTAATTGACACACAAGCTTTACATATAGACCAAGACAAGGGAGTCAAGACATCAGAGCCACAGGCCTTTCAGTATGCATCATACACCATCAACACCACCTTTTAGATTAAGAAAAACATAAAAATCGCCGAGCAAAGCGACATACCATCCCACCCCATCCAGCCCAAAGCACAAACTCGCATTCTACAACAACAAACTAACAGCAAATGCAACCCCAACCAACAACACAACTACCATCTCCACCGCCTCCCTCAGCGCACCCCCCGTCTCTCCACCCATCCCCATCCCCCGTTGCCCCGTCCCCACCGCGCTTCCTGAATGGGAATGGGGATGCGAATGCGTTGCCGTCTCCGCACCACGCGTCTGCGCCGCCACACTCCCATTTGCCGCGCTCGTGACCGCCGAGGAGAAGAATGTCGGGTCGCCCGTTTTTTCGGTGAATAATGCGGTGCTGACAGCTGTTCTTGGCGCGGTGGCAGTGGTGCTGGTGCTGGTGCTGGGGATGATGGGGAGGGAGTTGAGAGGGGGGGCCAGGGATTTCCCGTCCGATGGGATTTCTACGATTGCGTTGCGGCGGAGGCAGGGCTGGGGGGGCTATGGGGGGAAAGGGGTTGTTAGTGTTGCTGTGTGTAGGAATTGGAGTGGGCAGGGGGGGATGAGTACAGGGTCTTGAACGTCTAGGTAGCGGTTTCGGGACCATAAGTTTATGTCGTTAGATTCGGGGGATGGTGCGAGGGCCATGTTGAAAGTTGCAGAAATTTGTGTGCTGAGGAGGAGGGCGAGGAGAGTGAGTAGAATGAGACTCATATTTGCTCTTGTTGTTGTCGTCGTTAATTTAAAATTCAGGCGCTTTCTCTACTTGCACATGTGATGGAAGGTGAACCCGATGTTCGTGCACTTATGTATTTGGGATTTGACTGATGATACTGGGGTATTGTACATTGTGTGCCACTATGTGACGGTGATAGAGCGTGATAGAACATGCTTGTTGTAAATGTACGAAATGGTTACACGGGTCGTGAAACGTAGATGGACGGTATCTGCTAGAATAGTGGTAAACGATAGGGTGAATTGATTACTAGTGAACAGTTTGTGAGATCTGGTGTTGCGTGTGTTAGGGAAAACATCCCGTAGGCTGGCTGTACAGCCAAGTGTCAGAACACAAAGAGGTGTCCGGCTATACTTGCCAGTGTGCTGATTTGTGATCCCGAATACCAACTCCAACTGTACAGGTAGAAGTTGATCTACAGCTCACACAAGCGGTCAGTACTAGTCATGGAGGATCTACACTAGTGTACGTGTTGACAGAGGATGCTAGACGGGTTGATATGATGAGCCGGTCAATCAGCCCTAGAGAGATGGCGCTGTACTCACGTAATCTTTGTCATCGCCAGCGGTGTAGTACTAGCTTCATTAATGGCCGGTTCGGTTGTTGAGTGAAGCTATCAGTCGTTGAGGTTGAGGCCGCGACTCTCAGTCGCGAGGACTAGAGGCGTATATGAGAAGACATGATCGTTGATATGCATGCTGAAGCGACTCATCTTTTACATCTTACTCAAGCTCCTAGCATGGAAGCTGCATCGACTTAGTTCATACAAAGTGTGGCCTAAACGCTGGTAGATCTGGATAGACGAGATCAACGTCAGGGTTCTCCAGAGAGGCCGAGAGATATCCAAGACCTTTGCTGTGTGTTGTCCGAGAAATCTGATTGGGACCATGATACTGGAACATGAACCAGGTGGCAGGAATTGATTGGATCCTTAGCAAATAGTGGGTTTCGGTGCTACTGGGTGCATAGTACATGGCCTATATGTCCTTTTCGAGTGTAGTCGTACCACTGAAAGCCAATAAGCACGGCATTTTGGAATGGCAATGTTTCCTCTGTACACTTGCGACATCCGTAGGTATCCGCGGTGTTTTGTGCTGTGATTTAAATATTATTCGGTAACTGTTTTTGCGCATCAAGGCTTTTCTTTGGTGCTTCTCGGTCGTGTTTTGCTCTTTGCGCGTAGAGCGTCCAGATGAGATGATCCGGTGACGTCATACTCGACTGCGCTCCAGTTTCGCAAGACTGCGCTTTTCCAGCAGCGACTGCACAAGTCGAGCTTCCCAATGGCTTGGATAATCAACTCGTCCATTTCCGGTTCGCAAAGATGACAGTCGGCTCGATTCAAAGTTGATGAATGGTACTCGGAGGCCGAAGTCGGCGCGTCTACGGCCTGTAGCGGGGCTGGGACGATGCGTGGGGTAGCTTTTCGACCTTTATAATGGAACTTGTGAACGCAGCAATCGCGCAAACACACAGTCATCTTCTATCGCCATGCCTTCCCACAATATTGTCGTTCTTGCCGGTAAGAAGAGGTGAATTGCACTTGATTACAGGACTGAAGCTAACAAGACACAGGTGATGGTGTTGGACCCGAGGTACTGATCTCCATGCAACTTCTTTTGCGTGTGTAATTGATCAAATGACTCTAGGTCGTTGCCGAGGCCGTCAAAGTCCTCAAGGTGATTGAGAAGCACACAGACAACTCCTTCAACTTGCAGGAGCATCTGTTTGGAGGTGTAAGCACAGCAAACTCTCCAGTACAAAATAGACATCTGACAACCTGCAGTGCTCCATCGACGCACACAACAACCCTCTCATAGATGAAACACTGGCTGCCGCCAAATCTGCAGATGCCATCATCCTGGGAGCGGTGGGCGGACCGGTATGTCAAACTTCAGAAGTTGTGTAAGCGTCCTCGCAAGCTGACATTCGCATAGAAATGGGGAACTGGCGCGGTGCGTCCTGAACAAGGCATCTTGAAACTACGCAAAGAGCTAGGCACTTTTGGGAATCTTCGACCATGCTTCTTTGCCTCGGACTCGCTCGTCGACGCTTCGCCGCTGAAAGCCGATAACGTTCGTGGCGTAAACTTCAACATCATCCGCGAGTTGACTGGTGGCATATACTTCGGCGACCGCATAGAGGACAAAGGCGATGGCTATGCAATGGATACTGAGCCCTACACTGTGGCCGAGGTGGAGCGTGTTGTGCGATTGGCAGGCACCCTCGCATCAGCCGAGAACCCACCAGTACCCGTATGGAGCTTGGACAAGGCCAACGTCCTTGCAACATCGAGACTGTGGCGGAAAACGTTTGAGCGCGTCATGAAGGATGAATTCCCTCACCTGAAGTCCGGCACTCATCTCATTGACTCGGCCGCTATGCTCATGATCAAAAACCCAAGAGCGCTGAACGGTGTTGTTGTCACGAGCAACTTGTTTGGTGACATTATCAGCGACGAGGCGAGTGTCATTCCTGGCAGTCTTGGTTTACTCCCTAGTGCTAGTTTGGGCGGAATCCCAGACGGCAAGACCAAGCTGAATGGCATATACGAACCTATTCATGGTAAGCCACCCCTCCGTCTACTGCGAGATCTGAGTAGTAATTATCTCCAGGCTCTGCGCCCGACATTGCGGGTCAAGGAATCGTCAATCCAATCGCGACTGTTCTGTCTGTCAGCATGATGTTCAAGTACTCGCTGTGCTTGCCTGAAATCGCGCTTAAGATAGATGAGGCAACGAAGATTGTCATTGACAAAGGTATCCGAACGAAGGACATTGGTGGCAGCAACTCAACAAGCGAAGTAGGCAGCGCGATAGCAGCAGAGCTTGAGAAAATTATGCAAAAGTAGACGACAGGATTGGATAAATCAAGCTTTTTCCCCTACTACCAAGGTTCTCCGCAATCACTGCGACAACAGACTGCCCGACCACTCTATGACCAACTCCAAACTCACGTGAGCAACTGCCAACTACACAACTATCCCAACACACTAGCTAGTTGTTTTGAGAGAGGCGGGTGGGTGGCCTCTGCCGCCCAGTCACCGTTACACAAACGCTATCCCGCAGCTCTCTGCCTAGTTACAACCAAATACCTCAATTGGCATCTCTTTTTCTCCGCTTTCTGCCGTTTTCCGGCAAAGTACAACTTTGATTGTATAACGATTTTGACTTGAAAATGAGCGTAATAAAAAGACTTCGATGCGCTTTCCGGACGGGATGTAACAAAATAAATATTGCCGTACGCGGCCAAGTCCAGACGAACGATGCTCCAACAGCTCTCAAGCAAGACTCGATCCCATCACAAGCACCCTCCTGTAGGGATCGACCTCGCCCCCTCAAGCGAAAAGGGAAGGCGAGCAATCCCCAGGTATTTACGATACATCACTATGCGGATGGCCAATCCGATGGTTTCGAACAGTCGGCGAATAGCGCTGAGAAGGTGTCCAATCGCAGGAGCCCTTCCTTAGAGCGGTATATAGCCATTCGAAACGTGGGGAGAGGTGGGAATGGTGAGGTGCACCTCTGCCGTGACTCTGAACAGGGTACGCATGTGGCCGTCAAGACAATTTGGCATGACGATCCAGCACCCCCCAACGAAGTTGTGATTTTGGAGATGCTCGGACCCCATGAAAACATCGTAAGGTACCATACGATGATGAGGGACACAGATGATAATGGCGCCATGCAGCTCGTCTTCGAATACTGTCCAATGGGCGACCTGGTCGACTATGTGAACGACCTGCCAGCACCCACACTCGAAGAGACTTTCATCTGGCACATCTTCACGCATGTCACGAACGGGTTACACTACATGCACCGTCAAGGATTCATCCACGGAGACATCAAATCAGCCAACATATTGCTGACAACTCCACGTCAGGGAGTACGGTACCCGCATCCAAAGATCGCCGACTTTGGCACTGCCTCCTATCTCCCTCTCCGCACTATTCCAAACGGCCATCTTGGAACGCGCGGTTACCAGGCTCCTGAGTGGGAGCATCGATTCGGACCGGAGGCAGACATCTGGGCTCTCGGCTGCATTCTCCACGAGATGGCTCATGGCAAGGCACCTGTCCGCTCAATAGAGGAGCCTAATTCATCGGCCGCCCTCTGGTTCCACATGAGTGGCAAGCGTATCCCACCTAACACCCCGTACGAGCTTCAATACCAGGAGATGTGCTTCTTCACCGCCTTCCACATCCCATCGCCCATCCGCATCGACCGTCCCTGCCGCCACGGCGCAGTAATCTACAGCAGACTCTTGAACTATTTCATGATGCGCTGTCTAGACTTCGACCCAGATACACGCATCTCAGCGATGGAGTTGTGGCAACTCCTTCCCAGGCTCGACGCCGTTGTGCACAACATTTTCTTCAGCGGACAAGAGCACTTGCTTGACCAGTTCGATGACGGTCATGATGCGAACTGGAAGGCGGTGAAGAACGTGAGGGATTCTGGGGTGTTGAAGGCTGTGTTTTGTGCGCTTGCGACGGCCTCGGATGAGGAGTGGTGCGAGCAGAGTTTTGGGTGGGGGATGCATTTGCTGGATCTCATGGAGCCGTTGGATCGGGTGGCTGCTTGCCATTATGTTGGGCGGTCTGAATGAGGGGGATTGGAGAGGTCGGCGGCTTGTTAGAAGTTGGGGTGCTGCTTTGTCACTGATATGGTGCTCATTGTTATCACGATGCGAGAATTCTATCAGTATGGCAAATTTGCTTTGGAATACGCTTGGATTCTTGTAACATATAGATATTCATGGAAAGGCTGAGATAGCAGCATGCCGTCAGACCTTGATATGGGAAGAGTCATTTTATATTACTCACATTACTCACAAAATCACTCTAACTTTTATAATCTACTACATCGCTCGCCTGATGACGTGTAATAAGCTATTCTATATATTATAATATTCTATATTCTGGCCTGTCTCTCAACTACTGTTACGAACGCGCAAACGACTGGCATTGTCTAGCTGCGAATCACCTTCACTTTCACCGTGCGCTATACAACCCACTTCACCAGGCCCCAGCTTTCCTCTTCACCAACACCAAGCAATCTTCCCACCTGAAATGCACCAGACCGCCCTTCTGTCTTGCCATTTCTCATTCCTACCTCCCTGCTGAATCTCTCACTCACCCGCAGCTCCACACAAGGACCATCGACCCTTTCAACCAAATTGAACCAAGTGAGTGATCGCAGCGCCCACAACGCGCTCGCGGACCTTATAACCATAAGAACCATGCCCATAAAAATGGTGAATACGGGTCGCGGCCGTGGCCGTGGCCGCGGCGGTGGTACGGCTCGGGGACGAGGAGGCGGACGTGGTGGTTCGAAGAAACTGTCTGCTACACCTGCCCCTAAAGCTACAACGACAACTTCGCAGACTACTAGATCCAGATCCAATGCTACTACTCGACTCTCTGCTTCAGATACACCTGGACCCAATCATACTGCCCGTGTAGCTACGGCACCAGCGTCTTCGTCGGCACAGAAGCTCAAGTTAAACTTTAGTGCAACGCGTGCTGGCTCAAGCGCTGGGCGCACATCATCGAATACCCAGGCTCGTCATGAGCGCAATTCCAGTAAGGATAACGAGAAAGCGGATGGAGAGCCCTCAGCACCGTTGCTTCAAGGCGATGACGTTGATGGAGAGCATGAGTCGGATGATAGGGTACCTAGCGAGAATATCGACACGGGCGCCCGTCGCAGCGGCAGGGTAGTCAAGAAATTACGCCATGAGGACTTTGACTATGGAAGTGATGTTCCCCAGGCAGCAGAGCCGGAGCAGAAGCGAGGGAAGAGCTTCAAGCGTAAGTGTCCACTGTAAACGATGAGGTGTCCATACTTATTATACCATCAGCACATAATGTCCAAGTCTTTCAGGTTACCAAACCCTCTCGCAGAAAGCGTGGTCGTTCTTCCAGGCCATCACCAGTGCCGAAAGCAACACCTCAGGCCGCTCCAGACGTTCAGGTCTCATCCAGTCCCACATCCGCAAGTCCTGTTATCCATGAAATCCACAACCTTCAAATCGAACCGAAGGTCCTCGAAATCATGACCCACGTCAAATCATCACCGGAGACCCTTGCCGAGTTACCAGAACTCCACAATGACAAGAACTCAGTGACACCGTACACAGGGACACAACTGATGCACCTGTACCTCACTGCCCACAACCTGAAGCTCTTCGACATCTGCGACCTAGTCACCGACACCTGGATTCGCGCCTTGCACACCCAACGCCGCCGCGACGCACGCGCAAACTCCTCAGGACTCTGGCGTCCCAACCACGTACTCGAGAAACGACTGACTCGCTACCTGAACGCGCGCAACGAAGGCCGTATCCCGGACGACCCCATGGAGTTTGAGCGCAACCCGCCCGACTACAATCTCTCGGTCCAAGACCCAAGACTGGATCCAGATGTACTTTCCTTTGACTCCACGCTCCTAGGCGAACTCTACACGCACACGCCTTCAGACTGCGGCGCACGACGTCTTTGGTCGGATGCTATTACTCTAGCGGGCGACAAGGCGGCGCACATGTTTGCTAACAGTACGCATCGCGGTTTTGTCTGGAATCAGGAGCTGAAGGATGATGTTATGAAGACGAGTTTGAGGATGCTGAGGCGTAAGATTACGTTGAAGATTGAGGAGAGTACGGAGGGGGCTTGGTGTGATCGGTACCATGAGCATGGAAAAAAGGGAATCTGCTACCGGGCGAAGGCGGCGCAGGAGGCGAGACGTGAGGCAGAACGGGAAGCAGAACGTGCGGAAGAGGGACAGGTGGAGGCGAATGCAGGTTGGAGTAGCAGTAGTGATGAAGACAGTGATGGGATGGAAGACATGATTCTGAAGGAACTTGAGAATGATGAAGGTGACGAAGACAGGGAGGGGATGGGCGCAAAGAGGCAGAGATTGATGTAGGAGACTTTGAAAATTTGGATGATCTGGGAGCTTAATGTGTTGATGGGGCAAATCTTTTGCGCATTTGAGAGACTTGAGAGCTATGTGCTCAGTCTTGGATTGAAAAGAGTCGCAACTTCTCAATATGATGTGATAGGATCCGAGGAGCATGATTGCCTGAAGGGTTTGGGTGTTACATCAACAGACGTTGCGGGCTTGACATTCAATAGATTTCTTCTCCTCGTACCGGTAGTCGGCTGTATTTGAGAACTTGTACCCTGGTGCGGCTTCGGTGCTATTGAAGTTAGTAACCATGGTCACTATCCTAATGGTGTGGGGTCTGTTATAAGGATGTAATGGTTGATGTTAGGATCCTTCAGAGGAGCATCCGAATATGTACCGTACCGGTAGGTCGTCGGCTCTCATGCACGCCAAGTACTAATGTGGATGGTACATAGGTACATGTACCGGTAAGTCCATGTCACTTGCTAACGTCGATGCGGCCCGTCAGCATCGAGAACATCCTCCCAATATTTGGTAAGTTTATCGGAATCTTTTTTTATACTGCTTACTCGTATTACTGTTACCTTATCTGACATCTGTCTACACACTACTGCAAGAGGTGGTCGGGGAACGAAGGCGGGTACGCTTGCCCCTTTCGGTTAGGCTTGCGTGCGAGCCTTCGCTGTGCTGTCTTTTTCACCCCTAGAAGACAGCTTGACAAAGGTTACACCTTTGGGTCGATCAAGTCGAGCCACTCCTTTGAACCATTGTTTCAATTACAGGAGAACGTACTCCGTATTTTCTTGTTCCATTTCTGATTCTCAGTCATTCGCTTCATTCTGCTCAGGCACCCCATACACCTGCTCGCTTCTGCCACCTACCAAAATGAGCACAACGCGACATATGCAGCACGTTAGCGCATCTGATGCCAGGAGTTTTGTCCTCAATGTTCTGATTAGAAACGGAGTACCGCAAACTAATGCAGTCATCGTTGCCAGATGCCTGGTCGAAGCCGACCTCCGAGGCGTGGATACGCACGGTATGAACAGGATCCCTAGCTACATAGCACGTATAAGAGCAGGTGTATTGGACCCACGAGCATCCCCAACGCTGCAACAAGTTACGCCTGTTGTGGCGCAGGTGGATGGCAAGAATGCATTCGGTTTCTTGGCAGGGCATATGGGCATGACTGCTGCGATAAAGATGGCAAAAGAGTTTGGCATTGGCATGGTCTCCTGCAAACATTCGAACCACTTTGGCATGTCTGCTTGGCTCGTTCAACAAGCCATCGATGAGGACATGATGAGCTTGGTATTTACTAATTCCTCCCCTGCTTTGCCCGTGTGGGGAGGCAAGTCCAAGCTCATGGGTGTGTCGCCCATTGCATGCGGGGCCCCGGCCGGAAAGAACGGCCGACCTTTTGTCCTCGACTTCGCGCCTTCAGTCGCCGCGCGCGGCAAGGTGTACAAAGCTTTGCGAAGAGGAGAGAAGATTCCCCAGGGCTGGGCATTGGACGCCGAGGGCAAACATACAGACGATCCAGCCAAGGCGCTCGAAGGCCTTATGCTCCCAATGGGTGGGCCGAAAGGCTCAGCACTAGCCATTTTTATGGATGTCTTCTCGGGTGTGCTATCAGGTAGCGCATTCGCAGGTCATGTAACGAATCCTTACGACCCTACCAAGGCCGCGGACGTGGGTCACTTTCTCCTCGCTATCAAGCCAGATCTTTTCCTGAGCATCCAAGAGTTCAAGCAGAGGATGGACTACCTGTACTCTCGAGTGGTTGCTTCCGACAAGATGGATGGTGTTGATCGAATTTACTTCCCAGGAGAGATCGAGGACCTCCAGAAAGAAAAAAGACTCAAGGAAGGCATACCGTTAGTGGAGGCTGAAGTCCAGGCGCTCAACAAGGAAGCAGAACGTGTTGGAGCCGCAACCCTCGTGACCTTAACGCCTCCGGCAATGGCTCGCCTGTGAAGAGGCAATTCAAAATCGACCCATCTGATACGCCACGGTCTCCTTCTCGGGCAATCAGTCTCCGGGCAAGTGGAAAGTCTCCTTAGTGTCGTGCAGAAAATTGGCCTTACTCGCACCCAATACCCCTTACAACCAATACAAGCGAATACAATTGGGCGGCTTTTCTCCGGGCCCCAGCCCGTAGTTTTAGCGGGTAACCGTGCATCTCCGCGAAAGTTTTGCAAAACTCGTGGCACAACCTGCAATGGTACATGAACTGGGGTCGCTAGATGGATGCGGGGTGGGTTCAACGGCACAAGATTCGCATGCAGGAGTCTTGACTGGTTGGCACGATCCGATGCTAAGCTCTTCTGGCGGCTTGAGCAAGGAAGCTTTCTCCACCCAAGCGTGCCAAGCATTGCGCCGCCGTCTGGGCATTGTAACCCTACTACCTACGGATGTCTGTAGCCTGGTCTGACACGGCTGAACCTATACAAATGTCTTCCTGCAATCAGTAGACTAACTGCTGTTTCTAGACAAGCCAATCTTCCCGGGTTTGACCGATGGCGGCGGAAATTTCCTGCTGGGGAGATCAAGATGGAGTGTTACTGGTCTCCAGGATCTCTCATCGCGTAGACCACATGGTTCCACTTGGTCCTAAAGAGTGTGGAGTTGAGTGGACGCTATCCTGGGGTTGGAATGGAGTACAGGAGGAATGTGTGACAGCCCGTCTGTGCACCCACCCCGCAAATCTGTGCGTGTACAGGGTCAGCATAACATTATAAGAAGTCCCCGCTGTCTACCAGTCATTGAGCAGTTCTCTACCTTCCTTGACCCAAGTCTTTGGCTCAGTAGATTGATAGGCACCCACAGTTTTCTGTACATTTACCCTTGGTAATCAGGCAAGATGTGGAACCCATGGCGCGAGAACTTGAAGGAAACCCCCAAAGAGAGTCTTAACTGGCGTCTCTGGTTTGGTGTCTTCGGTAAGTATCTGCTCGGTGCAATAGAACATCTGGATATCTAACAATATGCAGTCTTTGGTCTCATGGGTGCAGCCCGTGGTATTGATGAAGGTCTCATTGGTACTACTTCCGAACTCGAGCCCTTTAGAAACAAATTCGGCCTCAACGATGACGACAAATCAAAGCACGAAATCGCTGAACTGTTGTCCAACATCACATCCATGGTACAAATGGGCTCCATCTTGGGAGCTCTTATTGCCTTCTTCATTACCGACCGAATCGGTCGTCTTTGGGCCACTCGCCAGCTCTGTGTTGTCTGGATCACCGGGATCGTGATCTTTCTCACCGCCGCAAAGACCGGTAGCATTGGCCAGATCTACGTGGGTAGATTCATTGCCGGTGTGGGTATTGGACAGACGACCGTCGTAGCACCCACCTACCTTGCCGAGACCGCTCCCAGGGCTATCCGAGGTCTTTGCGTCTGCGCTTTCTCTGGTTCCGTTTACATTGGTATTATGCTTGCATACTTCGCCACATGGGGAGCGTCTCTTCACATTGAGCCTACAGATGCACAGTGGCTCATCCCAAACAGCATGCACTTGATGTTTGCTGGTGTTATCCTCACCCTCTCTTTCTTCGCTAAAGAGAGTCCACGTTGGCTCATCAAGGTCGGTCGCCACGAGGAGGCCCTTGCAGGCCTGTCTCAGCTTCGTAACCTTCCTGGCGATCATCCCTATGTCACCTCGGAGATCATCGACATCAACGACCAAATGAACCGTGAAAGGGAAGCCACAATGGGCATCAGCTGGCTCGGCCCAGTCAAAGAGCTCTTCACCAGCAAGGCAAACCTTTACCGTATCCAACTGTCCATCATGTCGCAGCTGCTATCACAGTGTAAGTTTTTATCCATTCTCAGTATTACGAGTAAAGCTAACTTTTATCCGACAGGGTCTGGTGCCAATTCAATCACCATTTACGCGCCCCAGTATTTCGCAATGATGGGCACGACAGGTCAGAACGAGAAGCTGTACGCCACTGCGATCTTCGGTGTTGTCAAGTTTGTCAGCAGTATGCTCTGCGCCTTCTTCCTCATCGACTTCTTCGGGCGTAAGCGCGCTCTCTCCACCGGTATCACAATCCAACTCCTATCCATGCTCTACATGGCCATCTTCCTGCTCGTCGACAACAACATCGCGGACAAGAGCGTACCCCAGACCTCCAGCCAAAAGCATGCAGCCATGGGTGCCATCGTCATGATCTACTTCTCCGGTTTCGGTTGGGCCCTCGGTTGGAACTCGATCCAATACCTCATCAACTCTGAAATCTACCCGCTGCGCCTCCGCGCGCTGGGTGGTTCCATCGCCATGACCTTCCACTTTGTCAACCAATACGGCAACAGCAAGGCTGTGCCTCTCATGTTCATCTCCATGACTACGGGCGGCACCATGATGTTCTTCTCCTGCGTCACCACCATCGGTCTCATGTGGGTCTACTTCTTCCTCCCCGAGACGACTGGAAAGAGTCTCGAGAGTCTTGACGAGATGTTCAACCTGCCGTGGCATGTTATTGGACGCAAGGGTGCTGCCCTGACCCGCGGTACGGGCGGCATGTCTGAGATCCTAGATACCTCGGGCGAGAAGGCGGCGACGGTTGAGATGGAGAATTCAGATGTGCATACGCATACGCATAGGGTGGAGCAGAAGGCATGAGGGTACTGCGGGGAGCATGGATACCGCTTGAACGATTTAGATGAAATGTAAATATGTGTTTTATGTTGCAACACTCATCTTTCGAAATCGTGCCGGTGATCAATTTGGAGCAACACAACAAGTACCTTTAAACTCTTAATCACTCGTGAAATCCATCAAACACCGACCGCAAGTACACAGATGAGATACCTCCTTCCCCAAACGCAAACGACGAAATGACGACGACACACTACGTAAGAACCAACTAGCAACCCCCCCAAAAGTCTCCACATCTTTGCAAAAAAAAATTCACATCCCCCCCATTCCAACGTCCTCAAAAGCTTATGTGACATGTGAACTAGCGTCCTGTCATCCTAACCTAGCATTTCCGCACACTAGGATTAGCCCCATTAGAGTACCAGTTGCACGATTTGCGAGCACATGAAAGTGATGATGATGACGCAGGATATGGTGGATGCGAGTTGTGGTATGTGCGTTGCTTTGTTGTGGAAAACGCTGGTGGAGTGGGGAGAGGTGGTTGGTAGACTGTGACAGTGTGTTTTTGTAGGTGTGGCTGTGGTTTGGGGGGAGGAGATATGTGGGGGTGATTTGGTGTGGAGAGGGGGTTTGTCTAGATTGGGATTTGTATGGGTTGGTTTTCTGAGATGTGAGAGCTCGGTTTTATGGTTTTTGGCTGTGAGGTCTAAGAGTTTTGTATTGATCTTTCTTGAAAACTGATGAATGAAAGGCTGGTCGGGCTTAAGGAATGTGGCAGGCTACCTGGATTATCACGTGATTGGGATTAACTTTTTGACATGTTGGACGAGGGTCATCTTCTAGAGGTCTTTGTTTTACAAACTTGGATCGTTGCACAGTACCGATTTATACAGTACAGTACGTAGCTTAGACGGGGTTTCTTTTGATTCGATCATCTTCTCTCTGTTGTACCTTGTTGATTGATCCAAATCAGCAGACATAATAGAATCACATAATTGCTGGCACTGATAACATTCTACCAGTCCTCTGGCTGTTACACATCGACCATACTTGTCTTCCCAACATGAAGAATCACAAACAAGCTGCAATCCGCCCGTTTGGCCGTGACGAGGAAATGGCCGAAAGCACCCTCAAGTTGAGACGAGATGGCCATCCACATGCATATACTTCAGATCACGTGATGGGCGGTAGGCCCCCAAGGTTGACAAGTGATTGGAAGGCCACAAACATTGTCAAACAGGTTGTGCAGGAAGCCGGCATATTGCTCAACAAAGCCACCCGATGTCGTGCTCTACAATCCGCCATTTGAAAGGCCTAGGTGGCCCAGGAATGCGCGAATAATCTGCCGAGTGAAGGTGAACGAGGCTTGATGAAAAGGAATCTTGGGAGTTCCCCAAGCGATGATCCGCCGGATAATCGCCGGCCTAACCTTGTTCCATCTAGCGCTCGTCGACTGAGGGGCAACTTCTTGTCTGCCATGTTCGTGGTGACATCATTTCCTCCACGCCGTCTTGCAACAACAACGATGATTGCAGCAGTAGGATCGCGCTTGCGTGGAACCAGCTCATTTTCCGGACGCCGAGACATGCCAGGGCAAACAACTTGCATATCTGCGCTGCCAGCCGCGTTCGCCGGATCCTGAACTGGGCCGGTCCACACCGAATTGGCTGCCGCAACAGCCTTCGTTATGGGTCCACTAGTATGATCCCTATCCGTCATGCCATTTGGAAATCCTCAACGATAAATGTGGATTGGCTGGCGATCTGCAGTCGTTCCTGGGTTCTGAGATCTATAAATCTCTGCTAGGGCCCGTCTGAATACTCCAGACAGTCTGCTCGTTCAGTTTGAGACAAACCTGGACTTGTTTTCACTTCACCGGATTGTTGCGGAGAGAATACTTGGAATACAGATTCTCCTTCCCCACCCCCGGTTCACCCCAGTCAACACACACCACAATGACGAGCAAGCCAATCTTTGTGGCTACTCATCCGAGGGCATGCTCGACCGCCTTTGAGCGCGTCTTCATGACCCGCTGCAAGACCCTGCAGTGCGTACACGAGCCCTTTGGCGACGCATATTACTTTGGACCAGAACGACTAGCAGAACGCTATGAAAACGACCCCGAGGCGAGGAAACAGAGCGGGTACTCTGAGAGCACATACCGGACCATCTTTGACAGGATCGCGAGGGAGAACTCCGAAGGCAAACGTGCCTTTATCAAGGATATGGCACAGTACTGGATACCGCCGAACAACAAGCCGGCAACAGTCGCTCCATCTCTTTCCAACTATAAGCGCGGCGTAGGAACTGATACCACCGCTCTCTCTCCTGTCCAGACAAATGAACCCAGAGAGGGTCCTCCATACCCTTATAACACTAAAGCTGAGCCTGGGAACCCGACCGTCATCCCTGCCGATCTTCTCGCGACTTACCATTTCACGTTCTTGATCCGTCATCCCAGGAACAGTATCCCCAGCTACTACCGTTGCACTATTCCGCCCCTGGACAAAATGACGGGATTCTACAACTTCCGTCCCGATGAGGCTGGCTATGCAGAGCTTCGTGTCTTCTTTGACTACCTTCGTAGTGCTGGTCAAATTGGTCCCAAAATCGCGGGCCAGACTGAGGTCAATGGCCAGGCTGAGACGAACGGTCACTCTGGCGGCGTGGAGATTTGTGTCATTGATGCTGATGACTTGTTGGACAACCCCTCTGGGATTATCGAGGCATTCTGCAAAAGCACCGGTATAAAGTACGAGCCAGAAATGCTCATCTGGGATACCGAGGAAGACCAGGCGAATGCAAAGAAGGCTTTTGAGAAATGGAAAGGCTTCCACGAGGACGCACTCGACAGTGACAGACTGAGAGCCAGGACGCATGTAAGTGTTGAGAGAAGATGCAATCACGCCCGTTTGCTGACGACAAGTAGAAGAAGACCCCAAAAAGCGACGAGGAGCTGTTTCAGGAATGGACCGAGAAATATGGCGAAGAAGCTGCGAAGGTCATCCGTGATACGGTTGCGGAGAATGTCGAGCATTACGAATATCTGAAGCAGTTTGCAGTCAAGGTCTGAGACTGATCTTCTGGAAAGTCTACATATTCGCACATGGTGCTAATTAAAAGTCGTATTCCTTAAAACGATGAGCAAATAGGCCCACAATCTCAATGTAGACCTGAACAGCGCTGTCGAAGTTCGTTGTGTATTTGCAAGATTGGAATTGGGAGTCAGATTCAATTTCATGGATGATGACTCTTTCGGCCCGCCCGAGATACATGCTGTCTGTCAGAATTTCTCAGGCACCTTGCGAAAGATTGTGAAACGTTGCCCCGCATTGCCAGACCAGGCCCATGGACAACCGTACTTCAGCCGCAGAGTCTATGAATCATGTCTGCCGACGCACCCTTGAAGGCTCTCACTCAACACGAAATAGGCACAGCGATCTCAGTTGTGGTTAGCAAAGTTGACGATGCAATACAGACATCATGGCCAAGTGCCCCGATCTTCTGGCTGGGGTACTCTGCTGCCACTGCGCCACTACATTTGCAGATATCCGAGAATCTATCAGACATGAATCTATAGCGGAGTCAACCACCAGGCAAAATGAGGCAATCCAATCCCGTATGCAGGTACAATGCCACGTAAAATCGCCCGAGGCCATACTCGTGCAGTCAAGTTGTATGGGTCCTTGCCGGAACATAGGTGCTGAATTTGGAGCCCAGGAAAGAATTGTCATGTGCCACGGATGACGCGCCTTTCAAGGCGCATTTCTGCATCCTTCCCCTCCGCCACACTGGACCATGGATGAGTGCCCACTCCCTGACTTGGCTCGTCCGTTCACAACACCGCACGTTAATTAGAGCTCGAGCAGTCTGCATCAGAGCGCCGATGTCATTGATATCGTTGAGGTAGATTGTCACCGTACTTGCGAATTTGGCCGAGTAGGTGAGGAATACACCAGGCCCGAAGGGTGAGAAGGGCTTGAATCGCAAGAGAGGCAGAGACGATGGCTCACATTAAGAGCGGTTCCGCTGTGGGATGTGGCGCGGGTGAGCAAGCGTGTAAAACACATCAGACAAGAGCCTTGGCTACATGGCGACGAGATGAGTTTGCCGCTTACCACGGTTGATTCGAGGGTGTGAAGCAGGCAAAGGGTCGATTTCCACGACCAAGTCCACTCCATCCCGTGTTGGCGGGGTGCTGGACCAAAGGCTATGACGCGATCTACACCCTCCAGGGCGAGCTCAGCCCGGCGTGTGCACGGAAAATCCATGCAAGGCTCTCGAGAAAACGGTTGCGGGTGACGGTTTTCGTCAACGGGCAGAGTACAGACAGCCAGGGGCTGCAAAGCTCCCCTCAGCAGGTTGCTCAGTGGCTGAGCCAGAGGCCATATGCAGGCGCCCTGCGCTTCCTAGGTGTACGAGGACACAGGCGCTTCTATTCCACCGCTCCGCTCACTCCCCGAAGGCCACTGTCCGTTCTATTGCTGTCCAAAAGCCAGAAACCATTGTTGCGATTCCAACCACTTCCAACCGTTGGACAACGGCGGCCACCAACGCAACTGCAACAGCGCTCAAACCGTCACGCACCGTCCCGGCGCACCACCAGCCTCGGCGGCATCTACTCCACCTACCGAAGCGATCTGCATCTCGCCAGGCTGAATCCAGCAGCCAGGTCCTGGAGAGCCTCATCGACCGAGTCAAAGCAGACGTGACGTCTTCATCCAGACCGACCACGCTCTACGTACGCAGTCGCTTTGCCCTTGTACAGCTCTTGCGCTGCATGACGACTTGTTTGTTCACGCTCGTCCCTGCGCCAGAGTTGTCGGTGCCTCCGCCAGGCCCCTGAGTCGCGAGCAAGGCACGCAACCCCACAGCGGGCGGCGCCAACCATCGACTCAATGCGCTCAGCTAACCCGTACATCAACATCAACGAGAGCAGACAAGAATACCATGGAAATCACGAGCCAGCAAGATGGTATTGGCGCTTGGTTGCGCTCGCTGCGTCATGGATGATTGTGGCAGGGTGAGTTGGGCGTTCTGACGGCCGAAGGAGAGTGAAGCTAATGCTGTCTAGTTTCCTCTTGCTCCCAGGCCTCTATGCCAAAGATGCGCAATTAAAGTTCAGTTCGGCTGTGCTATCAGTCTTTGTCGTCGCTTTGCTCACAGCAGGCTACTCTTTTACCGCGCTGCTCTGCTTCGCCTGTCGCGATGCGTCTTTCCAAGCCTACAGCGTCTTCCTGTACGATCCACCACCCCCATCTTACCTTCCACACCAAACACTAACCACCAACGCGCAGACCCACTGGCGCATCCTCCGCCCTCGGACTCGTATCCATCGTCTACAACCTCTTCGCAACACGCGCCTACCGCTGGTCCAACGCCTCCATCGCGGGCTCAGTCCTCGGTGCCACGGCAACCATAGTCTACGGCTCCCTCTTCCTCTGGCGCACCCACCAAATCCTGATATCACGACGCCCACGCCCACCCCGCCCAACCTGGTCCGAACCAACCTTCTACCCAGGCTACAACCCCACCCTCTTCCCCAACCCCACACTCTCCCCCCAACACCCCCCAGACACGACCGCCTACGCCTACACAGAAGACGAGGGCGTAACCCACCAGATGAAGATGCTACTCACCCAGCGCGACTCCACACCCAGCCTCAACGCCAAATCCACCTACCAAATCGCCCTCCCCGTCGACGCCGAGCAGGAGCGCAGGGAAATGAGTCAGGAGCTCGTTGGCACGCCCGACCTCGTGTACACGGATGTTACGAGTCGGGGCCGCGCGGATACCAGGCCGGATAGTCTGGGCGAACACCAGGCGTGGGAGCGGTGGCAGGAGAGGGGTCGGTCGGCTGTGAGACCGTCTAGTGTGGGTGCTAGGAGCAACCATTCGCGGAATATGAGTAGAGAGGAGAGGAGGACGCAGATTGAGCTGGGGGGGTTGTGATGGCGGTTTGCTTCTTTCTCGCTCACAGGCGGGGTTTTCGTGTGTTGCGGTTGTGGTTGTGGTTGTTTCTTTTGTGCTATCAGCGTATGCAGATTTTGACGCTGTGCTATGGGGGTTTTGGGATATAATGGAGTGAATTGGCAGATTTTGTCATCTACAGGTAATCAACAAGGCGTTTTTGGGGGAGGGTTGGCATGTGGGTTTTTGTGTTTTTGGTCCGGTTTTTTGGTATCGGACGGAGAGGGAGAGGGAGAGGGAGAGGGAGGAGGAGATGGAGACGGAAGGAGAGCGAGATGGGGTTATATCCAACCATACATACGTTATTTAAAGTAATAAAATTTATGAGCGCAGTCCCTCGCATACTCCAAATTCACAGTCTTTTTGTACGCTTGAGAAGTATAGAGCCCCTCGTTCCCAGATAGTCTCTTTCTTATCCTATCCCCCTCCCTTCGCCGCGATTCTGTGCTTGCAATAGTTGGAGCTGGAGTTGAAGCTTGGGAGGGCTGGTGTTCACTGTTGTATATAGGCCATCTCGCCAGCGGTGTTTCGCTATATGATAACTTTGGGAATAGGGTTCATGCATTACTACATCTCCTTCTCACCGTAGATACCAGTCCACATGCCACTGTCAACCCACTCATGCCCATGCCCTTGATTTTATTCCACGCCCTTCCCGACTCAGCGCCAACGCCAACGATTTGCACTACTCTTTCGTACAAACGTCTAGCCTTTTCTTTCTTGCTGGCTACGATCAATCAAACTCTGTTGACTAAATTCCCCTCCGTGTTCAACTATTTCCCACACAGCCACTTCCTTTGCAGCCGCTTCCCCCGCATCAACCAGATCCCTCACCGCCATCTCCTCAGCCATCCTCGCAGCCATCTCAACATCCGACTTGATAAACCTTGAATGCACTAATTCCGCCCTCCCAATACACTCCTGACACAAGAACGCAGCGGTATCGCGCAGACTGCCCCATCCCACAATGTTGCCTCGACACATCTTCCAGTCCATACAGTTCACTGCACAAGGCCTGGTCGCATAGCCGCTGATTTCATGTCCGCAGAGCAATGTGTGCGTGGTTGCACCTGGTACTGTCTGGCCGAATGATAGCGGCGCAATTGATGCGTTGATGTCTTCGTTTGAAAGACTGGTGCAGGAGTGTAGGAGTGGGGGTGTAAGAGCAAGGGAACGGCGCAATGTGGGGTTATTGCTGGGTAGATTGAATGTGGGTGACGAATACATGAGAAGGTAGCGGTCGAATGGGATACCGCTGCAGACTTCGCAGTACAGGTTGTTCTCGTGCATATAGTTGGTTGAAAGAACAGGATCAGTACTGCCAGTAATTTTAGTGTTTGGTAGAGTGGAATGAGAGGGGTTGGGGGCATATACGATATGTTTGAAGCAGAGAGACTGTAGGAGAGAGAAATGTTGCGACAGTTTTGGCCGCAGCGGCGGTCTTTTCCGTCGATGTAGACGATGTGACCGCAGTGGAGGAGGTGGAAGGGCTCAAATAGGGGGACTGGGCTGCGGGATGACACTGTGCAGGGCGCAAGCTGATACCGGATATGTAGGATGTGTTCCTGGGGCGGTGCTTCCATGAAGCTGTGGACTAGCCCGTCGTTGTCACCGAGAAAGTTTGCGGGTGAGAGGGTAATATCTGCCTGCATGGCTGGGGACAAGACTGAATAGGATGTGCTGAGACGGAGGGTTTTGAGAAAGACGATGTCTAGTACGAGGAAAGACAAGAAGAGGATTTGGTCAAGTCTGGTGCAATCACCGGTGAAGAGCTTCCCAGTTCCTGGGTGAAGCAATTGCGATGCTGGACTTCACTAGGCAATGCGAGGACAAAATGGATTCATGACGGAGATGGCATCAACCATGACTGTCTCGACACGCAGTTCTTTGTGGTGATGGTAGGAAAGTAGACTTATTCATGGCTGGGCGCACGACACAAAATGTGAGGCATTGCACACGTGTTTCGCGAGAGTATATGACAGCCCACAAGAGGGGAGACATTCCAAGTCTTTTTCGTAATGATATCACCACGATCAATCATGGCTCGTGAAGCAAGTAATCTTTTGCAAGGCTGCCTCTATTCGTTTAGTGAGAAAGACTGTTGTGGAGACAATCTACGTAGGTGTCGATTGCGGGTACGGTATGTCTTTCACCGAGACTACAGTAGTTATGATGCTGCTTCGATACGGTTGGTACGTGTACCTGTTTATTTTCTTTTAGATTTTTTTCTCAAACTTGTACGGTCAACCATGTGTATGTGTGTGGATAGAGCAATGTTGCAGAGAGACGTGTTGGTGGATGAAAGGGCAGGGTGGAAGGGGTGAATGAAGGAGGAGTGGTGGAATGGGCTAAACTCAATAGGGAAATGGGGGAGGGGGGAACTCGTGACTAAGCAGTCCAAACGTCTCAAACATTTCATGGGCAATGGATGCAATCATCGCAAGGCTGCCGGGTAACCGTGACGGGTCTCCCCATTTGCAAGCTCCAGAGTATCCAACAGCGCTCCTCTCTTCCTTTTGCCCTTACTTTCCCTTTCCTTACCCCCCCTTTAGTCTTTGGACTGTGCCTGCCCATGGAGCCGCAGTTGATGTTACAGGAAGCAGGCACTGCAGGGGGTGGATTGTAATTTACTCGACGTCTCTAACACCTAGCTATATCATCGCCCATATACTGCTATGTAGGTGCTCTCCGTCTCCAGCCAGAGTCCAAAAGTCAGAGTCCCGCTATTCCTCCTAAGCCTTCCCGCTATTCTCGGGGCGGGCACACATGGCCACCCCAAGGCCCTCCACCAACTGTCGACAGTGGGATGCGCCGTCGGCCGCCGCATACAGTCGTACGCCGCTCATGGGCTCCCTCTCTAACGTGCAGCCAGACATCTCCCCTCCGACGTCGTGCGCCAGCAATAGTACTATTCGGTTGCCCACCATTGAGCCCGTGTTGGCAGACAAAGGCGCTTCAACAGCAGCCCGCCCTGCCTCTTCTTCCCAGCCCCAGAAACAACCACATGCCACTGCAATTGCCCGCTCAGCCTCCTCGACGGCCAATTCCAATTCCAGTTCCGAGTTGACGTCGTCCTCATCGCGCGACTCGCTGCCACCTGCACCCCAGGCGCGCGCCGCGGATAGCACTCCCCCAAAGCCGGCGGCGCGAGACCATCGAAGGACCAAGCCGAACAAGACGACCACTAAATGGAATAGAAGGAGAAGGGCTTCTTCAGATGACACAGGCCTCGACTCCAAGCCGCCCACCGCTCACCGCCCCAAATCTGCGCACACTGCTGTGCCCTTGCAGTTGCCCGCGCCATCACCCTCGCCCTCTACCCCGTCCAAGCAGCGCCGTCAGCCGAGCATAACCAGCAGTACCTCGTCCACGAGCCAGACGCGATTCATGGCAACAACTTTTGGGGGTCCTTCGGGTGATTCGCGACGAGGAGTAGTGTCTCCTCGGCCCAAGGGTCGCGGTATGATCCGCTGTGTGCATGGCTGTTGCTCTCAAGTCTAATGTTCCTTTTACAGAAGCGAAAAACACCTTTTGTCGCAATGTCACCATCTACGGACACTGTCGGTATGAAAACAGTAAGTGCGAATGGCTGCACCTTTTGAATGCTGTGGTGACCGTGCATAGCCTGTCCCTACATCCACGACCAGAACAAGTCAAACCAGAGTGAGAATGCTAAGAAGCGTTTCAATGTCGACTCTCCGTCCTTTACTCCCTTGCAACCAGCCACCAATGGCTCAGTGACTCCATCTGCTCGCAGCGCTGCCATCTCACCCAAGGCCGCCAATGCCGCCGTCTTTACACCCAAATCGCAACGCTCTGGTGAGTCCCGACGCCATCGTCACCACTGCGTCAATCAAGCTTATTTGGTCAGCCGTCAGCACTCCCCACATGCACACAAAGGAGCCTGCTATGGAATGGCACGCCCAAGACTTCCAAGAGTTTGTGCCACAGTCATTTGAAGGCCAAATGGTGCGTCATCACTTTCTCTTCTGCAGATCGAATGCTGTCATGTGTTCAAGACTGGATGTTCATTGTATTGGGTCTTGCCGTGACTTTGCATGGAAGCTCACACTCGCCACAGGGAGATCCGACCGGCGGCTACGATCCCTTCAATACGTCGAACAATCTATCCAACATCACCAGTGCGAGCCATCAAGCCGGCCCAATTAACCCCTATGCACAAGAAGCAACGTACTACCAGAATGCCAACGCATTTCAGACTCCTGCCTACCACTTGTACTGGCCGGTCGGCCCTCAGCCCACCGGTCTTCTGGCCTACCAACGTACTGCACATGATTTTTTCATTCCAGATTCTGTCCGGGAGGATCTGCAAAAGAGAGCCGAAGTTGCGCGCCAGACGATTCCCAATACCACGTTGCCTGTCATTGAGCAGTTTCATTCACTCTTCTGCTTGGACACGTCGCCGCAAAAGAACACTGCGCCGTTCGGCTATGCTAGTTGGATATACAAAGCCGTCTCTAGCAAAGATGGTAAAACCTACGCCTTGCGTCGACTCGAAAACTTTCGACTCACTAGTGAGACGGCCATTCGCTCAGCCCAACCTTGGAAGCGAGTGCTCAATGGCGGTGTCGTCACTATCCATGAGGCTTTTACTACAAGAGCTTTTGGCGATAGCTCCCTTATCTTGGTCACTGATTACCACCCAAACTCCAAATCGCTTGCAGATGAACATTTCAAGCCAATTCAGCGATTCCATGGAAGGCAGCCCACCTCGTCTCACGTACCAGAACAGACACTTTGGGGCTACCTCGTGCAAATTGCATCCGCCCTGAAAGCCATTCACGGCTCTGGCCTGGCAGCGAGGCTAATCACACCTTCGAAGATCCTACTCACAGCCAAAAACCGGATCAGGCTCAACGCGTGTAGCATCATGGATATTGTTCAATTCGACAATGCGAGGCCCATGGCCGAATTGCAAGCAGACGACTTTGTCCAACTGGGTCGCCTAATCCTCTGCATCGCAAACAACAATGCGTCAGCACATTTGCAGATGCAAAAGTCCATGGAGTATGTGACGAGAAGTTACACAGCCCGATTGAAAGAGTGCATCCAATGGTTGTTGAGTCCTCAGCCAGTGCAAGGAACGCCGTCGTCACCATCCACACCGACTCCGATGGTTAAAGATATTGATACATTTCTGGCCGGAATCGCTGATCAATTTGCGTCCGTCTTCGACAGCGAGCTCCATGCTCATGATACGTTGACAAACACGCTCGGCCGTGAACTGGAGTCGTCGAGACTTGTGCGCTTACTCATCAAGTTAAACATGATCAACGAGCGCCCCGAGCTCGATGCCTCACAACATGTGCCCGGCAGTACTGCCTCAGGCGCCTCCTCTGTTTGGGCAGAAACTGGAGAGCGATACTACCTCAAGCTTTTTCGTGATTATGTCTTCCATCAAGTGGATGCCAACGGTCACCCTGTTACCGATCTCGCACACGTGCTCGATTGTCTCAACAAACTCGATGCAGGAACAGACGAGAAGATTGCGCTCATCAGCAGGGACGAGCAAAATGTGCTCATAGTCAGCTATCGCGAAGTGAAGCGGGGCCTGGAATCGTCCTTTCAGGATTTGATTAGAGCAGGACGTAGTTCGGGCAAATAGGAATCCCTCAACTCCAGTCCGCTCGACTAGTGGCAAGGACTAAGTCGTAGGGACAGAGCATTGATATCTTGTACAGGCAGTCCAAACTGTGTTTGTATGAGAGGATCTTCTTGCGGACATGCAGATGGACATGGATGGCCTAGTTCCGCATGAGCAGGTTGTCCCAGAACAAGGCAAGTATGTTTACAACAACAGCATGAGGTTGTCGGTCATTTGTAGGACGGGAGTGATTGGTGGTGCTTTATCCGCTCTCGACCATGTTGTTGTTTGTTGCCTGGGCGAGGCAGGCGTTGTGGGGAATGGAAGAGTATATGCAGTAGGATTGGAAAGGTGCACACATTTACAACGCAATTAAACGCTTTTATATTACTTTGTCCGTCTTACTGTCGAGCCGGTACTTCTCGTGATGCATTACCGGCCTTGCTCATTTTTGGTACTGTAAACATGATAATAGCATCCCCTGCTTGTGGCGACGACTGGCGTGTACGTCAGCCAACTACCCCTCGGTTCTCAAAAAGTCGACCCCACATTCTACATCTTCTCCCTCTCTAACACACCACCACAACCACTCCTCTACAGCAAAACATTACATTCTACAACATGTCTGGAAAATACGAACTCCTCTGCCTTGAAAACCCGCTGCTGGATATCCAGGGTGTTGGGTGAGTTTGAGAAGCAGCAATTGCAATGCACTGTTGTCGTTGAGCACCATAGTAAGCAAATGCTAACCGTGGACAGTGATGAGAAGCTCCTGCAAAAGTACGGCTTAAAAGCCAACGATGCCATTCTGGCCGATCCAGAGAAGCACATGGGTCTGTACGACGATCTGATCCAGAACTTCGATGCAAAGCTCATTGCTGGCGGTGCGGCGCAAAACACTGCCAGAGGTGCACAGGTGAGTCTTTTGTCCTATTACACGACTAGGAATGTTCTGACGATGTCGTCCCCAACAGTACATTCTTGAGCCCAACTCGACAGTCTACATTGGCTGTATCGGCAAAGACAAGTACGGCGAGACGCTCGAGAAGATCATGAAGGATGCCGGTGTCAAGGCCGAGTATCTCTATGACGAGAAGACGCCGACTGGTCGTTGCGGTGTTGTCATCACCGGCCACAACCGCTCGCTCTGCACCGATCTCGCCGCCGCCAACAACTACAAGATCGAGCACCTGAAGCAGGACCACATTTGGAAGCTCGTTGAAAACGCCCAGGTCTTCTACGTCGGCGGCTACCACTTCACCGTCTGCGTACCCGCCATCCAGGCCCTGGCCGAGGAGGCCGCTGCAAAGAACAAGGTAAGGAATGAAAATGGGATGCCCCAAAGAGACCAAGTAAACACAAACTAACCCCCAAACCCAGCCATTCATCCTCAACCTCTCCGCCCCCTTCATCGCCCAATTCTTCAAAGACCCCCTCGACTCCGTCCTGCCCTACGTCGACATCCTCATCGGCAACGAGACCGAAGCGGCCGCCTTTTCGGAATCCCACGCCTACAACACCACCTCTGTCGTCGACATCGCCAAGAAGATCGCCGCCCTGCCAAAGGTAAACACGAAGCGGCCCCGCACTGTCGTCTTCACACAGGGCATAGACCCCACCATTGCCGTTACCGCAAAGGCGGACGGCGACGCAGAGGTCAAGCAAGTCCCTGTCCATGCCATTAGCGCAGACAAGATCAACGACACAAACGGCGCGGGCGATGCGTTTGCGGGCGGCTTCGTCGCCGGCATAGTCAAGGGCGAGAGCTTGGAGAAGGCGATTGACATGGGCCAGTGGTTGGCTAAGCTCAGTATTCAGGAGCTGGGACCCAGCTACCCGCAGCCCAAGCAGACGTATACTTCTAGCTAAGTGTATGAAGCTTGGCGAAGGGAGGCGGAAGAAGGATGAAGACAAGGGCGGGGATAGACAGGAAGTATTTCAACAATCTGCAAGAAGCATTGGCCGAGCATGCCAAGGGATGTGGGTTCTGGGGAGTCTGAGCAAGAAGAACCAGTTTGGATTTTCTCGCGTGTGGAGGAGATGCATGGGGAGGATTCGGTGGAGCAAAAAGAGAAAAATGGCCTTTCAACAGCCGGAGTTATAGATACCCTCGTCCCTGGACAGACAGACAGACAGATGGAGAAGGAGAGAGAGATGGCCAATCCAGCGCAACCAGCGAAACAAAAAAAAATCCGTCTGTTCTTAGAATATGGAAAAAGGAGACGCATATCAAATATCAGATGTAGTAATGTCATCCCTCCATCTCACGATTGCAATTATCAATGCCTGTATTTACACAATCTCACATGATTCGTGGTTTTGGAGTTTATCCTCGATGTTGGATGTTGGCTGTTTTTCATCAAAGACCAGGAAAGACATGCAATCATCCATCCATCCATCCATCCCATAGACCCATCCATCTATCCATCCCATCCACCCATCCATCTATCCATCCCATCCACCCATCCACCCATCCACATCCCAACCCTGCAAACGCCCGCCCATGGTGTCTCCAAAATAAAAAAAACACACACAAGAAAAGAAAAGAAAAGAAAAGAAAAGAAAAGAAAAGAAAAGAAGAGAAAAGAAAAGAAAAGAAAAGAAAAGAAAAGAAAAGAAAAGAAAAGAAAAGAAAAGAAAACAGAGGAGAGGAAGGGAAAAAGGACGGTGATGCTTGCAGGGTGTGTAAGATTTCTAAAAAAAAAAAACAAAAAAAACACAAAAAACGCCGGTTGAGATGCTATACCGATATGCGACATCTGCATACCCAATCGAGCGGAGTCGAGCGGAGTCGAGCGGAGTCGAGCAAAGTAGAGTTTACGCTGCAAACTACATGCACTCCAACAATGCAACACATGCCATGAACCCTCGAGAGTTCAGCAAAGATTAAAGTCAAGGAGATGACGGGTTAGATTTGACAAGTGCACTCTCATATCCGAGCTACACGCTCTCCAACCCCCTCGCCGACCCCAGCCCCGCCCTCCTCCTCGCCATCCTCGCCATCCTCGCCCTCCAAACACTCGACAATCAAATTCCCACTCCTCCCCAGCCTCTCACCAACTGAGCCCCCATCCCGCAACTCGAGCACCTCCCTGGGCATCGGACTGACAAGGCGAAACGGATAAGTACGGGAGAACCCAGGTGGAGGTTGCGGTACTTCACCGGGCTGCAGCTCGACGCCGTGGCAGTCTACAAAAGCATACAGCTGCTCGACAGGGGCCGCGGCGTCGAAGCGACAAACAACGCGGTCGGCGTTGGGCATGCGGAGACTGATGCGGACGACGTTTTGGGCCGAGGCGGGGGGTTCGGGGGGAAGTTGGGAGGCGCGCCATTTGCGCCATTGGGAGACGAGGGTGGCGTGGTGGAGTTTGGCTTCTTGTTTTGCGCGGGCGGCGGCTTCGGCGGCAGCTTTGCGGGTGGCTTCTTCTTTCTTCTTCCGGGCGCGTTCGCGGTCTGTGGCGAGGGAGCGCTCGTATGCGCTGTCTTGTTGTTGGCGGAGGTTGCGGGAGGCTTGTTGTTCGGCGCGCTGGGCGCGGACGCGGGCGAGGGGTTCGGCGTGGGTGCGCATGGCGGCTTTGAGTTTGGCAATGTATTGCGAGGGGGGTGTGGGGCCGACGATGCGTGTTGCGATGCCCATTGCCGTGCTCGAGACTTGCGGCGTGTGCACGATGAGGCCGGTGAAGGGGAATTTGGTGCAGGAGAGGGCCGAGGAGACTTGGTAGGCTTCGCTGTCCTGGACGTTGCCGGCCCAGAGGATGATGTTGTTGGAGGGGTCGCGGATAAAGGATACGACGTCGGGGGAGAGGAGGGTGTCGCGGATAAAGGACGAGGTGGCGTCGTGCTCTGGGCTGATGAGGACGACCATGAGGAATTGGAGGTTCTTCTTGGCAAGGTCAAAGGCCTGGGCGTAGCCGGACTCGAAGAAGGGGAGTTGGTGTGCGCCATGCTCTTCCTCAAACTCGCGGATGAAGCGCGCCGCCGTGTCGCGGGGATTCAACGGCCGCCGGCCAGAGGCGCTGCTGCGTGACGATGGCGCGTTGATATTGCTCGCAGTCACCCGGCCCCATGTTCGCGGGAGAAATGGGAACAGCCAGCCCATGAAGCGGAACCATTTCCCAAGCAACGAATAGACGAGCGAAAAGGGCGCAAAGACGATGGCTAGCACAAACGGGACCTGTGTGCTCATTTGACTGTCGGGCTGTGGAACCACCCGCGGCGCAGGTTCTATGCGGATCCGCCTCGTGCTACTCGACGAGGATCGCGGGGATGAGAAGCCGTTGAGCAGAGTTTCCTGTCGGCGGATATCTTGTGGCGCGGGTTGTGCAGCAGCGGCAGCGGCAGCGGCGACGGGGTCTTCGGCCGGTTCACCGTCGAAGAAGCGGGCGATTGCTATTTGGACGTTCCATTGGGAGCGTGTGAGGAGGGGAATCGCTTTGTCGACTTCTTGGTCGGTGACGGCGGTGTATTGCTGCAGGGCCAGTTGTTGGTCTTCGGTCAGAGACGATATGTCTACGCTCGAGTCTGCCATCGTTGAACTACCCGCGCTCTCAATATCGGATACGGTGGAGCGTCGTGGTTGTATTCCCAGAAGCCAAGGGGGGGGGGGGGGTGGGTGGAACGGGTGGGTTACTATCGGAAAGGACTGTGGGTGGAGTGGGATGAGTGTAAGATTGGAGTGTTTGAGTTGGAAAAGGATGAGGATGATGATGATGATGATATAATCTTGTTACCCGGAGGGAAGGGTGAACGTGTTGCCTCTGGGATCGATCCAACGGCCGATGATGCGCATGTGCGTGGTCGGAGCTTCACAAGCTTGCGGAACGGCCGCCCCCCCCCCGCCTCCAAGCAAAAAGGTGAGGCTAATCCTCGGCTGGCCCGCCACGCGACGCCTTCACCGTTGAGAGAGTTCATTGCGCCTCTGTACTAGGTGGACCGATGCATTCGCCTGGAAGTTGGTTTTCGTGAGGCGTCAAGTAGTACCAAAGTACCGTCCCATGACATTTGCCCGAGGAACTCTGGTTTGTCAGGGTGAAGCAGAGGTGGATGCTCCCTACAATCTCTCACGACACTCATGCCAATCACCCGAAGTAATCAATCGTAAAAATATACATCGCCATGTACCGGTACACAGACGAGGCCAACAAATGCACGGCAATGTTGCAGACTTGGACCACTGGCAGGATGAATGATGGGTAACAACTAAGCTTTAGGGGTTGTCGATAGTCACAAGACAGCGTTAGAGATCATCATTCACCACTGACTCGGACATCAAAACTAACTCTCTGTTAAAATACCCATTAGGCTCCATAGCACCTAACCCACCTTGACAAACCCACCTTGATGAAGCAGTGCCTGCTTGCTACAGAACACAGAGATTCCACAAAGAATCCTGCTTGCTCGCCATGAACCGGCTTGCACACCAGATGACAAGCTTGAAAACAGGCAAACATCACAGACATCAAACACCACACAATCCCACATCCACAAAACATTTCGATTTCATCCCCCAAAAATGACTACTACTAGTAGTAGTAGTAGTAGTAGCTGCCAAGCCCCACCAAGTCTGCACACAACCCCAGATAAAGCCCAACCCCCTGCATCGCCAGACAGTTAGGGCCTTACCTCCACCAGCCGGAGAAGAAAAAAAGGCAAATAAATGATCGACAAGATGATGAGAAGCCGTGTAGAACTGTCCAAAACACAAAAAGGCAAAAAACAAGCAAACAGATGGGATAGGACATAGCCGAGCCCGTTCCCATCCACCACAGTCTGCATACCACGGCAAAAACAGCAAGTGTGTGAGAGAGGGGCCATGTATCGCAAACCGGGCCCGTACTGCACAATCCGCACACTGCTGGGTTTCCTGTCGCGAAGGCGGCGTGTGTGGGGATGAGAGAGAAAAAGCCTGATGCATGTTACAAGGAGCGTTCGTGTAAGAGTGTAGAGCCCGGTGAGCGAGTCGGCCGGGGAACCGCGTTCTTCATAGCATCCAGAAGACGGGTGGATTTCATGCCCATGTCGGGAATCTAGTGAGGATAGCTTGCACTGCAGGAGGGTGAGTGACAAAGCATGGGAAGCGCGACTAGGCTCAAATGTGCGCGCGGATACTGGGTGACGGTGGGAAAAGTGGTAAGAGATGGGTAGCAGGCAGCTTATTACGGCTGCGGTACTCTTGCTCAACCGCCCTGGCCGTTGGGTGGGGTGCGCCCCCAGGAGCTGTGCGCGTTGTCCTGGTACGAATTGAAGAGCGATGGGCTGGCCATGTTGGGTCCATTTGCATAACCATACTGCTGATTGCCGTTGTATCCGTTGGAAAGCGACGATCCCCAATTCGACGGACTCCCACTTGGATTACCCCAAGCTGCGCCACCCAGACTTCCAGCCATGAGTCGTGGTGCTCTGCCCTGAGTGGGCGTGGTAGCCTCCATGCCAAGGAGCGAGTTTGCTGAACTACCGCGGACGTGGCCAGACATGCTATTGCTTGGACCAGCAACATGCGACCTGTCATGAGTACTGCTGGCGCAGTTCGGGTTCAGGCCGCCCGGAGACGAAGGACCAGACGTATTCAAGGGCTGCAATTTCCATATGGAGTCGGTGTTGTAATGCCCGTCAGGCAACGAAGGTAGAATGGCTGGTTGTCGAACAGACGATGTAGATCCACTGCGCCCCATCGGCGTGGAAAGCATCGCAGAGGTGGGATTCGGAGACAGAGGTTTGTAATTCTTGACGGAGTTGACCAAGTCACTGATCGACAAGGCGGCTGGCGCATACGTGGTGTCATTCACGATGGCTGTATCCTCAAACGTCTGCTCTGGCGGGGTGGGCGGCAAATTCTCGTCTTCCTCTGGGAGTGGGTCCAAACCATCATCAATTCCGACAAGGTCATCCACCATACGATGCATGGCGTTATCTTTGGCGATAGTAGTCGACGCCGACTCGGAACCGGCAGCCACGCTGTGCGACTTTTGGTCTTCGGAAATAGGCATTTCCGGTGCGAACAAGGGGAGATCTGCGACCTCCACTGGGAGCACGGGTGACCCATCCGTGCGGTTGTTTGGGCTCGCGAGCAGCTCAGATGGCAGTCCATTCTCGCGGTATATGAATCGAGATCCGTCCAAATCGAGAGGCGCTTCTGCATTTTGAGTCAAGAGCAAACCATCAATAAGCAGATCCTTGACGCGCATCAGCATTTCCACGTTGGGGTGGTTGCGCTCAAGGTCTGTCCATTTCTGCTTCATCACTCCACCATCATACCACAGCTTCATCGTATCTGGCGATATCAGGGGCTGGAAGCCTATGGTCTCAGTATCTTCCTCGAGCATATAGCTCTCTTGAGGAAGCTCCTCGACGGGGAAGCTCGAGGCAAGAAGCGTCAGGGTAGCGGCATATGCCTTCCAAAGCTCCTGCACATCAACGGTCGTCAGGGTGTCGGCAATGTTCGCGTTAAGAACCTGCCAGTATCGCGAGAACCAGGTACTGTAGAGTCGAAGTCCAGGAAGTATACGGCGGGCTACGGCGGTGATCTTGTCCGACAGGTGGGTGACGCGTTCGCCGTGCTGTCTGACGTCGTCGCCCTCCGAAAGACGATCAAGTTCTGGCTGGAGGACCTGGAGGAGGATGAAGAATGTTTTCACGTTCAAACGCAGGTAGAAGAAATATGTGCGCATAATATTTGGCGGTGGGTTGGTTGCTGTCTGTGTTAGCATAGACCATGAGCAAGATGAGGCGCACATACCCTGCATCTGCACAGTGGCAAAGTACTCCGAGGCAAAGTTGATCAGGATAATCTTGGTCAGGATAGAGTCCAAAGGACGCTCCTTGAGCTCAATGGCTAGATGACTGAGTACTTCACCCTCCAGCTCGTCATGTGCGGCGAACTCCTCGCCTTTGTAGATCTTGCTATGCAATCGGATGAACCAGGCAATAAGGGCACGCCCAGCAGGACTGCCGTCACCGGCCTTGTGATTGCTGATCAATTGGCCCTTGTCCCAAGCTGCAATCACTCGCTTGAATTCAAGCTCGAGGTTTGCCTTGGCCTGAGGATACGGTAATTTGCTACCGAGCGAGCGATATAGGTGGTATACGGAGCGGAAGTGGTCACCATCCTCACGCGAGATGACGGCCAGCTGGTTCTGCGCGTGTCCAGAGTCGGGGTAGATCTCGGCAGCCAGACCATAGTAACCTTTGGCTGGGCCCCAGTTGCGCTCTTTGTCCTTGTCGACGAGTTCGGTTTCGCGGTAGCGGGACAAGTCGCCGAGCTGGATCAGAGTTTGGTGGCAGGATAGATGGACTTGAGTCTTGAGATGGACGGGTATACGTTGGCGCAAGGCCGTTTTGGAGGCTAGAACGGTATCAGCGAGGCTCAAGTGGTAAAAAGAAAACATGGAAAATCTTACCATCATCCTTCCATTTCTGGGCGATCTTGCGCAGTTCGGGAATACCGTCAAATTGAGTGTCGAGGTTCAGTATATACTGGCGGTAGAAGCGCTGGCTAGCCTTGATGAAGTGCATGTAGTGCTTCTGAAACTTTCGAATCTCCACTACATGGTCCTCTCCATGGTCCTTTGCATGGTCCTTTGAGCGCTTGAGCTGTGAGTGCGTTAGCCTATGGCGCCTCCATGGCGGTCGTAGAGATGACGCACAAGCCTATGCTCCTGTCTGAAGATGGTGTTGACCTTCAGATGCGCGGTCCACAATTTCAGCTCGACCTCATGGGCCGTGGCGTGTTCGAAGTTGGCGAAGATGAGGCTTTCGCAGGCGACGCGATATCTGTCACGATGTTAATTCATTGCGCCCTATGTGTATCCGGTTGGATGTGCCCTACTCTTGCAGCACGAGGGCCAGCTCAGCGGCGGATGAGCCATGCTCGGCGCGCTTGGAGAGTTCCTGCTCAATCTTCTTCGCCCGCCTGAGAAGCATCAGCATACTGTCGTTGTTCACAGCCACCATGGCAATTGTCAGCGTAGGTCAGCGCACCTGTCTAGTTGTTCGGTGTTGGCGGCCATGCCTCTTATCAAGTGTGCAGGCCGGCGACGTTCATGTGTGACCCCACGGTCGGCGGGCAGGTCAGACGAAGGCACGGAGCAGGCGGCGAGCGTTGTGGCTGGCGTGCTCCATGGAGGAAGTGATTCTGTGCCCTGAGAGAAGGACAAGCAGGGCGCACGGGGGAGAGAGGGGGCGGTGCAGGAGGATCTTGTCTTAGCGAGCCAACAGCGCCTAAGACGCAGGTGGTGGTGGTAGTCGTGGTGGCGATGGTGTTGATGTTGAATGTTGATGGTGATGGTGATGGTGATGGTGATGGTGATGGTGATGGTGAGTGGTGAGTGGTGAGTGGTGAGTGGTGAGTGGTGAGGCGGCAGCGCCAGAGAGTGAGGATGGTGGGCGGGTGTGATAATGTACGGGTACCGGTAAGGAAAGGTCGGGGTTGTTCGTCCGTCAGGCTTGGCCAGAAATGGTGGGTGCCCAGAGAGAGAGTAGTAGTAGTAGAGAGAGAGGGAGAGAGAGAGAGAGAGAGAGAGAGAGAGAGAAGGTGACTGGCGAATATTCTGGGGGGCGAACGGGGCTTTGGGCGTGGGCAGTATCCCGTCGGAACAAGCTGCCCGCTTCCCCACCTCAGCCAACTTATGGTAGGTTATGTACCTACTCACTAGGTACAGTACCCTATTGTTTCGTACCTACCCATTAGCTATCAATCAGACACCTCACACCATAAGACCCATCCCCTCCCCCTCATCTCTGTTGCGGGGGTTTTTTTTAATCCATCCACAACGCACCGTTGTTCTTGTTATTCACATTATTGGTCTTGTTGTTGTCCTTCCTTGTGTGCTGTCATCCCAACTCCAGAGACATTGGAAAGATTTCATTCAGCCTGCAGCCGCGAGACAAGCCGTTCAAGACACCAACCACCACACCACACCACCCTACACTACACTACACCACGTCGCTGGCTGGTCAAAGGTACTCTCCTTTTCTCTTCTTCATACTACGCCACCAGTCACACCTAGCACACCCAGTCAAGCCAGCACATCATGGGATTCAAGCGCTCACGCAGCGATTCGTTGTCATCCTCAGACGACACTAGCACACCGTATTCTCGCGAGCAATCCGTCGACATAAAAATTGCCCACCTAGATGCCCACTCTGCTCTCTCTCACCAGCCCGCCGTCATGAAGTGCTCGTTGCCTCCTCATGAGCCCCTTGATTTCTCCACCTTTGAAGACTATGACGTTCACTACCGCAAGGCCCACTTGAACAGGTGCTCTGAATGCCAGAGGAATTTTCCAGATGAGCATTTCCTGCACTTGCACATTGCCGAGTATCATGACCCCATCAACGCAACCAAGCGAGAAAGGGGCGAGCAGACGGTAGGTCTCCTGATCTTCTTCCCACCTTGTCCCCACTACTCCCTTCTTCCCATCTTGTCCCCACTACTCCCCGTGTGCACGTGAGGTCCATGTCCACCAGGCCCTGCAATCTGTCCAAGGCTAGGTACGGTAGACGCAAGAGTGGTACATGGGTACATGAGTACGTGGACGTTCCCTCATTCAACCTCGAGGCTAATCCTCACAGTATGCCTGCCTCGTCCCAGACTGCGACCGCCTCTGTAGCACCCCGCAAAAGCGGCGTCTGCATTGCATAGACAAACATCAGTTCCCCAAGAACTACAACTTCATCATCATCAAAGATGGGATTGATCGCAGAACGAGTATGCTTGTGTCTCCCCATAGGCGGCGCAGCAGTACCATGTCATCAGTCCACGGTGCTACCACCGAAGCGGGACGACCAAGAGGCGAGTCCAACGCAAGTGTAACGGCTGACAGCATGGATGTCACAAAAGAGGATGAGCAAGGGCAACCGATCCAGGAGAACATGGAAGAAGTGGAAATGCAAGATGCCGAATCAAGACGGTATCCTACGAAGCTTCGTGGTCGAGGAGGCTTCAGTCATGGTTTTGGCGCAGGTCGTGGGCGTGGGCGTGGGCGTGGGCGTGGGCGTGGGCGTGGAGGCGTTACTCCCACCACCACCCAACCACTGCAACCAGTCCCTGTCACTGCGTCCACTCCCAAAGACCCAATGGATACCCTCACATCAGGCATGTCTGCACTCCAGTTTGTTCCGCATAGCGTCCAAGTAGCAAGGGGCCGAGGTAAGGCAAGAGGTGGATGATGTCTTTGGACCATATCCCGACTGTGATGAAGATCCTGACTCTGTCTACTCAGTCAGCCAGAGTATCCCAACTATCACATCACACACACACACTCTCTCTCTCTCTCTTTCTCTCTCTCTCTCTCCGGTCTAATTGGACCATCATCCACGATCCACGTGAAGTTCCCCCGCCCGCCCATACTGTTCACATTTTGTTGTCACTGGTTTTGTTGTTGTCGTTACACAGCTTCGTGCCTTCCCAGTCACCACGTGGGGTGGATCACGCCCACATTCCAGACCCGGGCAATATCGTCCCGCCCACTTCCCAAATGTCCTCTCCGCCTACATGCCACTCCCAGCCGCCTCGTATTGTTAATTTGTCTATTACGTGCTGAGTGCACGATAGGTACAAACTCGAACACCTTTGCCCCATGTGCTGTCCCTAGGCCGCCGGCTTGACATGCAAATGCTCTTGGGCTGATGTGGCTCGTCATACAGCTGCATTACGCATACCGACTTTTGTTGTTACATATTGATCGTCTGATGGTTCTCGCGTTGGTGGAAGCGGAAGATCGATCCGTTCGTTGCTATGTGGGCCACACCCACACTGTCTCCGCGTCATCACAACAAACACCGGACAACCACTGCACACAACCGGGTCCAACCTCTCTTTACAACCCAAAGGTGCTTTTGGAGCCCATGAAACCATCAACTGTCGCGAGCTGCACAATTGCAAACGAATTTCTCAGGCGGCGCATGCAACTTGATCGAGACCCTACGACCCGGCGCCATCGCAACAGCAGTCAGCGCGCCTGCCCAACAAGCTTCACAGTCGACGACACATTGCCCCGAGATCTGGATCCGATCAAGCCAGCCCAAATCCATCAGAAAGTCAAACGTGTTCGTTCAAGGAGAGTTCTAGACATCGAGGAGGGCCACAGCCCTGAAAGGCAGCTGAAGGACGCGGCTCACAGCGCCCGCACAGCTACAGGTAGGCATGGCATGCTCTCATTCAGACAATCTACGAAATCAAGAGCTGATTCCGATACCAGCAGAGCAGCACAGGAGGCCCAACATGTGGAGACTTGGACTTGACCCCGATCGCAGGAACAGCCCCCTATTTGCAGTAATGCGGAAAGATCCTGAGCGAGCTTTACAGGATAAGCAAATTGCACAGCTTTCATCGCCTCAGAGGCTGGACGACTGGGAAGGTGATGAGTTGTCTGATACGCAGGGAGGGGCACAGGAATGGATGGCCAGGACCGACCATGAATGTGCACAGGAGACAACTCCGGATCATTGTTGCAGTTGCTTGCCAGCAATGGAAGACGACGGTGACAGTAACGAAGATCATGCTAGAAGTCGCAAGCCAAACAGAGCCGATATTGGGGTGGGTCAAGCCCCGACATTTGGCAAGTCAGCGTCGCCGACGTCAGATACGACACTGTGCGAAAGCAATGCCAGTCCACCACGTAGCCAAGTCAAGACTAGTTGCAGCCCTTGGGATCATGCGCACCCCAATGGAGCCACGTATGATCAGGTCGTTTTTGCTGAAGCGGCACAATTCGAGAGGGAAGAAAACCATACTCCCACGCCTGTGCGAAGACGTTGGGCACGGCATCAGCGCAAATTGTCGACCGAATCATTGATCCCTGCGCGGACACCAACTCCATTGCGCGCAAGAGCTCGAACAAATGATGGCTTATTACAACTCAAGGCAAACACCACACACGATTCAAACATCCAAACTGGTGCAAGACAAAGACATCGGCGCAAGATCTCATTGAAGATTCCAATCAATACGCCCATACGACGAGCCGAGACTGTCGAGCACCCCAACCAGAGCACTTGGAACGGATCGCCCCACCGTGCGGTTGTAACCGCCCATAAAATATCGCGGCCGCTCACGCATGAAGAGCGAGAGCTGGAGTACAAGCACCGACACACCTTCATTGGCGTCACATCCCTTGACGACTTCTTAGAGGCCCTAGAAGTGAGCTCGACGCATACGACAACGAAAGAAGCCGTAGCCAAAGGGTTCATATCCCTGGCACATAACGAGCAAATGCTCGCGCGATCCAGTTCGACCAGGACAGAAGGATGGGAGCTAGTCCCCAGGGTCACGCCAGACACCTCCAGCATTGACTACGTTGCACAATTGCAGGTCAAGCTCGGCTCGATTACATTACGCCACTTTCTCGACATGATACCTTTTGATAGCAAGGACGAAGTCAGCGCGCTGCATGTGGTCGAGGCATTTTCGGCCGCCAGTCACTTGGATGCCCAGGCTGGCGTCGGTACGGGTCGCAAGGCAAAAGCTTTCCGCACTTGGATGGTCACGCAGGCTCACCATGTGGTATGAGTATGTACAAGTGATGAGTTTTGATTGAAAGTATGTAAGGCGAGAGACTCTTGCTAGTTGTCGCAGGTGTGCAAGGTAATGGGTAATGTAGGCATGTTTGTCTTGTTTTTTTTCCTTTTTGATACCCAAGTTGATATTTCCTAGCGAGGTTTGCTTGCAAAAGGCAGTAATGTTTATTTCGCAAACTTTTTGTCTTTTTTTTTATTAAGGCGCTTTGGTTGTCATACGGTATTCTGTTCCTGGGAGGAGGGCGTAGCAATCTGTGAAATCTGTCGTTTCGTAGCTGATCTTGGTGCCAGGACTCGCAGGACTCTTGTGCCTGGATGGTGTCTTTACTGATGAAATCAAAGATAAACACCAACGGCAAATTTTTCATGCAGAGAGCTTCCAGTTGGCTGGAGAAATCTGCATGTTTGTCGATGGTTTCGTGGCACGAGTTTACCTTGGGTACGGTATAGCCACGGTCCCAGGCAACCTCATCCCCGTAACTTTCTCCTGCTGATACCTAGACACATGCATGCATTGCTAAGCCAAGCGCATATGTAGCCGGTGATGTCAAGGCAAAAATCAAGCAATTAAAGCAAGAGGAGAAGCCGTCTTACGAGCGCAGATCGCTACCCAAGTTGGCAATAACCTGTTAGTTGGCAACAACTTGTCGCCTTGTGTGCATTAGCTCAACGTACATCCAGTGGACCCCTCTTGGTACGTGGACGATTTATAAGCCCCGATGTGCCATCACAGGGTTGCCACTTTTCCGCAAGAAGAGGGGTGTATAAAGGCAGACTTGGGTTCTCAACTTTTCCCTAGTATTGGTGTGCAATAACACAAATCGCAACTTATAACAACCACCACCATGACGTCACAGAAGCCGTTTAGCAAAGTCCCAGAGGGCGCGACACAGCAGCCGACGCCATTTGAACTGCATGTTGACGAGCAGAAGTTGCAGGATATGAAGACGCTGTTGAGATTGAGTCCGGTGGCCAAGGAGACGTATGAGAATTTGCAGGATGATGGGAGTCATGGGAGGTTTGGGGTTAGTCGGAGGTGGATTGCTGATGCGAAGAAGGTGTGGGAGGAGGAGTTTGACTGGTAAGTGTTTACCTGTTTTCAGGAGATTTTGTTGCAGCAACTATGCTGTGTGATTTGTTTATGAGGATGACTGGTTTGAATGGAGAAGAGGGTTGCTAATGTGGAACCAGGCGCAAAGAAGAGGAGCATATCAACTCCTTGCCCAATTTCAAAACCAAGATTACTGACGATGATGGCGGCGTGTTCAATGTTCATTTTGCCGCGCTATTTTCTTCTAATCCCAAAGCGATCCCCATCGCCTTCTTCCATGGTTGGCCAGGCTCTTTTCTCGAATTCATCCCACTGATGGATCTCGTCCGCAAAAAGTACACGCCAGAGACCCTCCCCTACCACATCATCGCCCCATCTCTTCCCGGATATGCCCTCTCATCCGACCCTCCCCTTGATCGAGACTGGAACACGGCCGACACATCCCGCATCATGCACAAGATGCTCCTCAGCCTGGGTTTCAGCACCAGCGGCTACCTCGCCCAGGGCGGCGACATTGGCTCCTTTGTTGCCCGCGAACTCGCCGCCACATACCCCGAATGCAAAGGCATGCACCTCAACTTCATGTACATGCGAGACATAACCTTAAAGGCCTCGGACACCGACACCCTCACCGAGCAAGAAAAGCACGGCGTCCAACGCATGACCGACTTTCGAACCCTCAACAGCGCCTACGCTTTCGAACACGGCACCAAGCCCTCCACCATCGGTCTCGTACTCTCTTCCTCCCCCTTGGCCCACCTAGCCTGGATCGGCGAGAAATTCCTCGCCTGGAGCGATCCCAGTACTACGCCCCCGCTCACGACCATCCTCGCACATGTCACCCTGTACTGGCTGACCGGCTGCTATCCCACGAGCATCTACACCTACCGCGAGACCAAGGAGACGAAATTCGTCCAAAAGCCGGTCGGATACAGTTATTTTCCGTTTGAGCTTGCGCCGGTGCCGCGGGCGTGGGCGGAGAAAACGGGGAACATGGTCTTTTTCAAGGCGTATGATAAGGGTGGGCATTTTGCTGCGTTGGAGAGGCCAGAGGTGCTCTGGCAGGATGTGGAGGAGTTTGTGCAGGTGGCTTGGAAGCGGGGGGGTTAGGTTAGGTACTTGTCCTTGCACTTGTCCATGTCCATGTTTTGGGAGGAGTGGGAGGGTTTAAAGGCTGAGAATTCCAGGGGGATTAATGTAGAGCTTGCAGTCATACTAGTGTTGACAGTCAGTATACTCATACAATATAGCAATGACCAGCTACGGTACATTCACGAAGGAACCCCTGAATCGGGATATCATTCCACATCCATATCACCACATCTCCCCAACTCCCAATCCTGTTCCAACCCCTCCTCTCCATCCTCTTCTCTACCCCACAATACATCCCACCCCCCACGCCAAACATCCTCTACGCCTCGCTCCGCTTACGCTAGCTAAGCGTGGTGGCGGAGGCGCAATCTGATGACGCAGCTTCTACCAATGCCCATCTGCCGCTATCTACCCCGAGTACAACGTCTGACAGGATTAGAAGCTTGAAACGTTGGGTTCGTGGGGAAGGGAGGCCTGATGTAATTGTAGAGGATATCTTGGGTGGTGCGGTTGTTGTTAGGTTTCCGCTAGTGGGTGGCTGTGGTGGGTTGGGGGTTGTGTTTATAGTGTGGGTATGTGCAAGGCTGGGATACCGCATGGTAGGTATGTATGGTTGTTATGTATGTAAAGGTACCTACCGGTATGGTACCCGGTACCTATGTCCGGGTAAGACGGCACATCACCACCACCACATCAACATCTCCCCATCCCCATCACACACCCACTCTCAACGCCAAAGAAAAACTCCCATCCACTCCCCCACTCCTCCACGCCCTATGCTACAAGTTCAATTCAAAGCAGAAACAAGCCAATAACAATGTCCTCCCCCAAACCACTTCGTAAACTACACAAACCCCCTACCCTAGCCACCCTACACACTCCCCACACCCGGCCACGCAAACGGCTGCAAAAGAGCCACAGCGCACCGACATGTGCGCTCTTGCGTCAGGATATGCGGGTCCGGGGCCAGCGTGAATGGCAAGGGAAAGGGCAAGAAGAGCAGAGCATTTTTTTGCTAGAGTATGAGGATTATGTTGGGTCATCAACACCACCATTGGCATCACAGCCCTCACAACCATCACCACCACCACCACCACCACCCCCCTCCTCCTTCCGCAAACCAGCAATCCTAGGCGCATACTCCACCCTCAACCGCGCCACGACCGGGGCACTCACACACGGCGCATACGCATTTAGCAAAGAGGGCGTCCTAGACGGCAGCGAGTATCTAACTGCAACCGGGCGAATCAAACTAACCTCGCATCAAGTGCAAACCCAAGGTCCCACCGCCCCTTTCCCAGACCCGTCGGCGCTGCAAAAAATCAGTACCAGTATAGTGCGCCTGGATATCCCGCACCCGGGCGCTGCGCCCGCAGATTCAAATCCCAGCGCTACACAGCGTGGTCAGCGCCCTGCGGGCGAAAACCCAAGACAGATCTTCCTCGCCCTGCACGAGACGCCCCAGCGCCTCTTTTGCATTGCTGTGTTCACGAGTCTGGGGTTGGCATGGGCTGCTTGTTTAAAAGACAAGGCGTGGTTGGCCTGCAGTGATGAGTTGGAAGATGAGCGGCGCGGCGTTGGAGAGGGGAATTGTCCCGAGGTTTGGGTGCGGGTTAAGGGGGCGAGGGGGCGCCAGAGATGGTATGTCAAGTGTATGGAGGTGGATGTGGATCTTGTACGAAGTGAGGGGGAGGGGGAGGGAGCTGGGGGGTTGCGAGGGGTGCGAGATGTGGTGGCGGTGTTGGAGGGGGTGAGGGTGGATGGTGGGGGGTTTGGGGTTGCGAGGAAGAGGGTTGGAGGTGGGGGTGCTTGGGAGGGGGGAGGTGATGGTGTGAGGGTTACTGGGTAGGGTAGTAGAGAGGTATTGGACTGGTGGGTAGTGGTGGCTACAGTTACTGGAAACTGCAAAGAGTGTGCGAAGTAGGTGAACGGAATGAGATGATGCTGGGGTTACATACCATAATACGTGGACTTTACATCTCTATGCTGGTGCGTTACATGTGCTTGGTTTGGTTTCTGTAGTGTAAGCTCTGGGATATGTGGAGAGAGTGTAGTAGGTTTGTAGGCGAACGGATCCTTCAGATATATCACACTTGTTCAACACATCCAATACCTACCCTCAATCCCGACCCTACAAGCCCCATTGCAACTAAACCCACATCTACACACTCCCAACTCGGACTCAAATCCACGATCTCTCCCCATACCCTACCTCAGCACACGCGCCCAGCGAACAAAATCCCTACTCGCAGTGTACAAACGCCGTCGCGCCACACAACCTCACCCACCCAGGTCCGCACAACCACCACCCCACCCCACCCGCCTGAAAATCCCCTATACTTACCCAACCCCCATAAAGCACGACAACCAACAGTTGGTCGAGAGGTCAAGAGCTATTCATCTGTTCCGATATCTGTAGGAGTGAAAGAACTTCCAGACCGTCCTTCGAATGGTCGTGTATTTAAATCCAACCGAAAACCCTGCTTTGCTTTGCAAGGAAATGTGTGGGTTGTAGTTTGTATTGCGAGTTTTGATTGTAGCCTTAAGTGGGTATGATTTTTTTTAACGTTGCTTTTTTTATGGGTAGGGTGTGGGGCACTGTGTTTTTGTGAATATGTGGGTGGCTTACAGAGCTACGACTAGATCTGTTGTTAGAAGGGTTCGGTGTGATGTAAATATCAATCTTAGTGACCTTTTTTTCAACGCAAAGGGGCTGGAATAGTGGACATGTGCCAATGAAGGTGGGCTGCGTTCAGAGTTTCAGACATGTGTATTTCATCCAATATGTACAAGACGCAGAGCAAAAATTCCAAGTGCCATACCAAAGACTGCACTGATAACGTTGTGAGTTAAGCATCGTTATATTATTCTCACACAACAACAGAGTTCATCAGTTGAATTGTAATTGTTCTTTCGCAACGCAACGCATACGAGAACAACTCACATGCGATGCTTAATCGCTGAATGTCTCACAGACATGAGAGGAGCGAATATTCCATTCGAAGACGGCAAGATCCATAGCCACATACTGAAATCTCGCTCATTGCAGCCCATTGAAATAACCACACGAGCTCAGGAATCTGAAATAAGCTTACGTGAGCAGACCAGTCGATTCACATGGGTAATTTTCAGGTCTCGTTTCAAACAGCAGAACCACAGCCAGTCCATAGCGTCTTTGCACCGTCATTTTCAACAAGAGCCATAGTATCAGTGAACTGTGAGGAATGCGAGGAGGTCTGGAGGAAATGAACACGATTTATACCACGTACAGTCCACGAACGGAATCATAGATACCTCATCATATGCCTCGAGAAAGCACAATTGCAATGCAGCTATTCTAAGAGAAACAAAACACATGGTTTGATCTCCTATTATATTTGTGACACAGAAGCACAGCAAGCCATTGAGAGAATGCCCAAAAAAATTTGGCCAGTAAAGGGAGTTTCCCACATGAGCTGTCCAAGTACGACGATGAGTATGAAAAGCGGGAAATCATGGATAATCTATATACTGATATCCCATACACGAATGAGAAGATCGGTTTGATGTATGATATCGTGTGCAGAACCGTCTCACACATCGTTTTTGGGTCCGGCTATTTTGGTAACACTGAGGACATGATCATTCACATCCGTATCGTTTCTTAAACTCTGCGTCTCAGAATGTAGAGTCGTAATCTCATGACACTGCAACTGGCACATCACGCTGCAATCCCCCAGGAAACGAGCAGAACTCCATGGGTAAATTGTCCTGTGACTTTTTTGGCAACAGGGAAAATCTCATATCGCCAGACTGCAAAGGTTTCACGAGATACCAGTGTGACCAGGGAAAATGAACTCGAGGGTGATACTGGGAGTATTCATACTCTAATCAGAGCTTCTCTTCCTCACCACATCGAGGGGTCATCCGTATGTTTCAATTTTGCAACCGTATGCGATGTTGTTACTGATATGGATATGGTACGTATATAACTTATATCCATTCCCAAGCTCATGCAAACATTTATTGAATTTCGCCCATGTCGCAGAACCAATTGAACGGCAGACATGGAATATGTGATTTTCGTCTTTGCCTTTAAAGCACCAGGCCTGAGTCTCCCAGCCACGTACACATCCCCGTTGCTCACTTCCACTCTCCACCATCTCTTTCAACCTCGCATCGTTATTTTTTCTCCGATTCTGATCCGGCCTTCTCAGCACATGGAGCAGAACCCTGTTCCACTGATCATATCGATTATCAATTTTCTTGAGCCCTTGGGACATCTAGCACGCTGCCCACAGTTTGATTCACAGATGATGTGTGTGAGGAGTAAGAAAAGAAGGACTTTTTATTTGTTCTTGACGCTTTTATAACTTGCTATCGATACGCTGGAACTAGACCTAAGTATCAAGCTCGTGGACACATGATCAAGTCTCCACATGTTTATTTTTGAAATACCCATCCCCACGGACTACAGCGCGACATAGCAGTATGTAATGAGGTAGAAACCCGAGAATCATACTCATCGCCTGTATTCACTTCTACGTCCTAAAATCTAAACGTTTGCAGGGCTTCAAACATCCAATCCAATAATTGAACGTTGTCAACCATCAACCCCATGGATTTTGCTTGCAGATAACATGGTACTCAGCTCTTGGCTGTTTTCGACGAGAGAGCGTGATTCTTCTACTTTTGGCGGAGAAGGAGGGGTTGATGGTGATGGTGGAGGAGTGTGAGAGTAAGGGGTTTAATCTATGTGGAAGCTGTGGGGGAGGAGTAGGGGTAAGGGAATGTGTGAGATTTGTGAAATGCGGTAAAACCAGACTCCAAACAGACTCCATGTGGCTGAGTAGATCAAAAAGGCACCACGCCTACGGTCCATGCCTGATCTTGCCATGATTGCATGAACAAACAAACTGAAAAAAAAGCAAAAACCAGTCTTGAGATATCCAGCCCAGTGAACGCTGAAGTTGCAGAACAAAAAGCCGAAGCCCCACAAAACAACCGCCCCTTTACCGAGTCAAAAACGCCAATGTGTACAACCCATAAGAAATACCCATAGAAATACATCCCATCTCACCCGCTCGTCTATCCAAAAGAAAATCCAACCCGCACCTTAATGGCTCCCCCCTCCCCCAAATAATCCCTTCAACCTTCAACCCCTTCAAAACCAATAACTCTCGCCCGCGCGACTAATCTCAAAACAACACCCCAATCCCTTACCCTCACTCTGCAACGCGCGCTCTCCCTCCTGTAACTCCCTCAAGATCTGATTGCAGACTAACGGCCCATCCGAAAATGTATCTTTGACATGGATAACAACGATCTTGACGCCTTTGAGCGGTAAGTCAAATGCCGCTGTCAAGAGGGCACGGCTATGCTCTCCGCTGATGGCGCTGAAATGCAGTGCCGCAGGGGCGGCGGAGGGATGCGTGCTTTGTGCAAGGCCCTGGTTCGCGGGGTTCGGGGTGTTGAAACCTGTTCCATCGGCGCTGGGGGCGTAGTCCGTTGCTTCGTCGTCGGTGCGGGGATAGGTAGCCACAAGAGGACTATCGATACCCTTTGCGACTGCGTTGCTGCCAAGATTTCCATGGAACGGCTTTACGCGACGAGGTTCGACAACAGAGGCGGCGCTGCCATCCAGGCCCAGCGTCTGACTTGCGCGTTTGCGTTTACGCTGTTTGCGGGCTTCTTCGCGGCCACGCTCGGTTTCCTTGCGACTATTGCGGACGAGGTCGGCGAGGTGCTGGAGCTCGGCGAGGAGGTGGCGGGGCGTGAGGTGGCCGAAGAGGACGGCGTCGGCTTGGGCGTTGGTGTAGCTGACTTCGATGAAGATGCCTGTGAGGATACCGGCGGCGATTTTGGGCGCCGCTTCGGCCCAGATGACGGCTGTGCGCGGGGAGAGGGAGAGAGAGTCTGGCTCGACATCACCGAAGATGAGGACTTCGCGTTTGGGCGTGGTGGGTGTGGATTCGGTGCGGATGAAGTATGCGGTGGAGTCGATTACGCAGTGATCTGCCGGGATGGCTGTTGTGGTGGCGCTGGCTCGTCGACCTCCATCTAAGGCGTTGAAGCTGGGAGTTCCAGGTGCGCTTTGGGTTGGGAGGGAAAAGCTCAGCGAACGGCCTTCGCCGTCTTTTCCAGAGTTGGGTTGAAGGGTGGCTGAAGTGTGCTGTGTGGTTGGTGTTTCTGGAAGAGTAGCATTGGAGCCACGGTGGATGTGGCCTGAGCCGCCCATACAATGGCCATGACTAACTTTGTAGCCCTTGACACCGAGACCATCGCAGACTTCGATGAACCCACGACTACTACCTTCGCCGAGAGCAATATTCCCCCCCTCAGCAAGTCGTTGAAAGGTTACTAGCCCGACACCACCATCCTCATCTGTAAGATTTGGCCATATGATGTTGTTGAACAGATGCGTCTTAATCGCATTGACTGTAAAGGGCAGCGCTGCTAGGCGTTTTGGTCTCGACGTGTTGTGGAACGCAGCTGTATTGATCACGAAGCCTGATACATGATCAAGATGAGGATGTGTTATGAGATAGGTCGATATGCACTCTCTAACAACATGCAGTGCATTCGCCCTTGCGCTCGCATATGGAAAGGGCAAGCCAGCAAAGGCGCCCGTCTTCAGCGTCGTATAGGTGAGCGGGACTTCTCTTTCGGAGATTGGTGTGTCCCCGCCAGACTCGTCATCAGAAAGTGCGAGCTCTGCCGTTCTCGGTGATGGTGATTCAACATGTCGACCATCACCTTTGCCGCTTCCATTCTTGGGAGGGGATATTGGTGGATCCGGGCTTGAGACAAGAGGGAAGCTCTTCTCCAAAATGCGGGTAATGGATGCAAGATGCGATCCTGCATCTACAGCAATGACGGAGTTCTTAGACCATTTTGTTGCCGTGGACCGAACTAGGAAACCTGTGACATTGTCTTCGCTCGGTCCGCCTCCAGAACCCAAGCATATGACCTGGATAGCAGGTTCATGAGAATGGCCGGATGACCGCCGGATCACGCGATCCTCGGCCTCCTTCATTCCCAAGGTTGCAATGTCCGTCTCTTTCTTCTTCTCTCTGTGTTGACTTTCCTGGCTAGTGAGCAAAAGTAGGTTTCAGCCTCGTCCTGCACTTCCCCGCAAATCCACTGATGACGTTGGTCGAGATCGTCTTCGAGTCTCAGCCCTGCTGCGGCGATCTCCACTGCCCGATTGCGATTGCGCGGCGAGCTAAAACCTTATGCAATACTGGACGCGCAATGCCTCTCTCACAGCTTTACTGTGTTGACTCGCTGAATGCGCAAAGGTGTGCAAGAATCCAAAGGTTGACGACAAACTGCGAGTGCGGATGCGCGGTTTGGCTTCTGTAATAGCCTCCAACAAACAGTGACTGTTGCAACACGGCACACACTCGTCTCTTTGCGCAGCGCCGTCGCACAGCGCGAACGCTTGCTCAACGTAGTCCTCTCCGTGCGCAATGCAGGGCGCCGAAAGCCGTTCCGTCCTGTGTAGCGTTGCGCGCGTGCCTCCAGTCTTGGTGCAACTGCTCTCTACTCCAGCTCTCGACCCGATGCGAAATTCCCTTGCTCTTGCTTGATGACTGTACTCCTATGTCGGGTTGGAAGAGGCGAACGTTGAAAATGAGGAAAGGACTCTTGGGAGACTGGAAAGGCTCGAGAATTGAGAGAAACTCGAGGACCAAGAGGTCGAAGAATCCCTGTCAGCCAACACCGTCAATGTTGCTTTTGCGGTTGGCTCGGGCTGTTTCTTTCCTTGTTCACAGTCAGGCTTCTGTCCAATCGGAAGAGTTCGTCGTCGCCAGCCACAACACATGCCAGACCTGCCTCCCTCGCCGTCCTTGTCCCCGCCCATTCCTCAAGTCCCGATCCGGGGTTCGTGCAGTTGTTCGGCCTTGTATTGTCTAGGCGATAGTAACTATCTGTTATAGCAAACTGTCCATGGTGGCCCAGGACTGCCCTTCCCCATGCGCGCCCTTGCGCTTCCACATCCCCTGCACAAAGAACAAAGACATCAATCACATCAATGCAAGCAGTACGCATAGTGTTGGGGTATCATGAAAGTCTTGTGCAGCATTTGTTAAGCCTCTATTTCCGGCCGTGCTAGGTAGGGCTGATCTACCGAAAGACTGCCCCATTCCTGTCCATGAAGCCTCATCTCGCATCACTTCATACCCATGCCCAGGCCAGGTCGTAAGTCATCCGCATCGTTAAGCACCAAGCACCTCCAAGAATCCATACAGCAAGGCGTCTACTTGAACACCTTACCGTCGGCCCACGGGTACTCCTTGCCATCAACAATGAGGGGCTTGTCCCACGACCACTGGTCGTTGACAAACTCTTGGTCCTCCTTGCTCTTGGGGTCGAGCTTGGTGAACTCGTAGCTCTCGTAGTCGGGGGCGACATCGAAGGCAGGGAGCGCTTCCTGTCCACGAACAAGGAAAGCACCCTTGATGATGGAGTTGTTGGACTCGCCATACACAGAGCAGGCACCAAAGAGGTACTTGCGGCTACCCTCAAGACGGGCGAAGAAACCACCTGGGATCATTGTTAGCCATGATCTATCATTCTCGTCTTCACGAATACGCACCGATCAAGTTGGAGGTCATGAAAGTGAGGGTCAACTCGTCGTTGTACTTGTAGTCAACCTTGTACAGAGAGTACTCTTCGAAGTTGGCGTTCTCCCAGAACCAGGGAAGAGCAACCTCGCGGGTCTCCTCGTTGGAGTACTTGCGCTTCCAGTCGTCGAGGACGAATGTGGCGCGGGGAAGAGCCTCAAGAGGGTGCTTGGGCTTGGGTGCTGCTGGTGCTTCCTCCTCCTCTTCTGCCTCCTCCTTCTTGGGCTTGGGAGCCGCCTTGGGCTGCTCCTTCTTCTTCTCGCCGCCCTCCTTCTTGGGTGCAACGTTCTTCATTGCCTCGGTGATGAACTCGAACTTGGGAGCAACTGCAGAGTAGTTGGGCTGGTGGTAGATGGTCTCATACCAACGAGTGACGTTGGGGTTGGCATCGCGCCACTGCTTGTCGAAGAAGAACTGGAAGCCACGAGCGAGGATGCTGGTGGCGAAGATGTCGGCCAGAGTTAGGCGCTCACCAACGAGGTAGGTGTGTGTCATCAGGTGCTCCTCGAGGACATGCACAGCCTTGAGGGCGGCCTTCTGTGAGTCCTCGACGTTCTTCTTGTTGTAAGGGTCGCGGCCGAGGAGGGGGCGGAACCAGCCACCGAGGGGGATGAGGACCTCAGTGTTGGCAAAGGACATCCATCGCAGGATGGTGGCGTAGTCCTGCTTGGTCTTGCCGAGGAGGCTGGTCTTCTCATTTTGCGAGGCCACTGCGATGCGTTAGTCCTGAGTCATTGACCAGATGGAGTCCATCCAGACGAGTGAAGTGCCGCATATTCTAATCAGAGTGTAGTTTTTCAACAATAGTTTTCAGACAGGGATAACTGAATGATATAACATCCGACATCATATTGTATGCGAGCACCCAACGTCATGGAGGGGTAAGGGTACACATACAGTAGACTGCGATGGCGATGCACTCGGTGAGGACAAAGCCGTCAGCGCCCTCGAAGGTGGGGACCTTTCCGAGCTTGTTGAGCTTCAGGTAGTCGGCAGAGACGCCCTTTGCGGGCTCCGTGTCGACAAACTCGATCTCAAGGCCATTCTCCTTCGCAACGGCCAGGAGAGATGTGGTACGCGGGTTACCCTTTTGACCAGACAGTCAGCACTCAGCCACGCGCCAGAAAAAAAGCAAAAGTCAAGGACGAGAGCAGGTCATACCGAGTAGCTGTAGAGCTTTCCGAAAGACATGATTGCAAGTGATTCGTGGGGGAGTCGCAAGCAATGTGGAAAGGGGTGTTTGATGAAGAGAAAAAAACGCTGTTTGGGTTCGAGGTGGGGGAAGTTGCATGGCCATTTAGTTTTTCCGTTGGGCTTGGCGGATTTTTCTGCGTTAGCGTGTCAGCCCCATCCACCGTGAGAGGCGGACAATCGTCGCGCCGCATCTGAGCAATCCGGGACCATTGACAGCATCCACACGCCCACACGTAGTACACCATGGCAAGCAGAGAGCTGTCATTGCGCCTGCACAGGGCGGTGCGTGTGCTCGGAGGGCGTTCGAGGCCCCAATGCGAGCGTGTGGCCCAATGGACTCAGCAGAGCGTGCAGCCCAGGATATCACGACCCATATCGACCACGGCCGCACGACAGGCAGAGGTCACCGAGACGGGAATCCAGGAGAAGTTCCAGGCAGCACCGCCAATTGATTTCGAAGAAGAGAATGGATCGAAAAAGGAGAAACCCAAGGGGCCTGACCTCCGAAAACTGCGCATTGTGCCAGCATCGCCGTCGTACTTCAGCGCAAAGCCTACCTTTACCGACGACTATCTCTCGCTCTCTGCGCTCCTTCGCAAATTCGCTACCCTCCCCGTCATCACCCCCGCAGAGGCGCCAAAGGTGGCATGGAAGACAGTCGATCAATATCGCATCATGACGAACGAGCCCGTCAAGACACAACGCTTTCACAAGATGCTGCACATACTGCGGCGACTGAACTGCATTCATCCCTCGCTCATGCCAGATGAGGTACTTGAGGCCATGTCGCGATACAAGAAGCCCGTCCAGCCCGGCGACATCGTGCCGAAGCCTGGGGTGATCGACGAGCTGGGCCGTGCCAAGGGCGTTGGGCGCCGAAAGACATCATCCGCTGTGGCCTGGTTAGTCGAGGGTGAGGGCGAGGTGCTGGTCAATGGCAAGTCCCTCTCACAATTCTTCGGACGGCTACACCACCGAGAGAGTGCTGTCTGGGCACTCAAGGCGACACAGCGACTGGACAAGTACAATGTCTTCGCCTTGGTACAGGGTGGTGGTCTGACGGGTCAAGCTGAGGCTTTGACCTTGGCCGTAGGCAAGGCATTGCTGGTCCACGAGCCAGCATTGAAGCCTGCGGTCCGACGTGGTAAGTTGATACTTTCTCTCATGTTAACCCAACACCATCCAAGCTTTCTTCCTCTATCTTGTCCTTCCGGCACGGTAGGTACCGCCAGGGTCCTGAAACTGATGCACGCGAATACCCCAAACGTGTTTGAAACCCTTCCGACGATCTCCAACACAAGTCTGGCCTGCATGATCTAGACTCTCTTGCTAATTGTCACACAGCTGGATGCGTGACTCGAGACCCAAGAAAGGTGGAGAGGAAGAAGGCTGGCCACGTAAAGGCGCGCAAGATGCCTACCTGGGTCAAGCGTTGAGGTCGCACGGTTGTGTATGTTATCCTTGTGTATTGTTGTGCATGGTAGCGACACTGCGCCAGTGGCACGAAATGATGACAATGCAACGCAATGCGGTTGCTCTGTTTCTGCGCGTGAGAGGAACGTAAAGTCCCACACCCATCACACCCGCACTGTACAACATGCAACGTGATGGCGACGAGACAATTCCACCGTTACGTGACCACATTTATTCGACACGCAGGCCCGCAACATGTGACCTGTGCCGCGAAACGAGAGGGAGAATGTGTGTATGTCGTCGTCACGACTTACTCTTCTGGGGTGCGCATGCATGCAGATACATGCAGATCGTGACTGCCCATACGGAGGATCCTGTCTGCAGCTCCAAACTCTAAATCAACATCATCTTCCCTTCTTCCCTCTGCTGATCTATTAGCCTTTCCTTCACAATGCATGTACCCTGGAACCACGGTGTTTTGCGCACCCCTCCCCCCAGAAGGCTTGTCAATGCGTTTGCCATCAACGATAGATGTACAGGACACGTCGCGTGACTGCTAGTCCCAGCCTGCTATAGAGTTGAGGGATGCAACGCTTGCTGTACATTTACTTACCGTGCCAATGCCAAGGTACTGTGGTTGAGTGTCTATAAGTAGGCTACGCTTCTGCCGGGCCATGTGATGCGCGGCAAGTTCCAAGTTTGTTTGCAGCCCAACATGGCAAGGCCTACTGGCCACGAGCGACGGGATTCCAGTATACAAAGCTGCCCAACAGGACAGTCTGTAGACCCCCAAAAAATATGCAAGATACCGGTATATGGTCTCAGGACTCCGGATGGGCCGAAAGGCTCCCTTCCACCGGAAGAAGACAATGTTCCCAGAATCATACGATATGATGCGAGGAAGGGCAGACTATGTACAGGCAGGCGCTCTTTGCGATCACGGGCCTAGGCTGGACCCAGCGCTGGGGGTGAGGAGTCATACAAGTACATACAGTAAGCAGTGAGATCAGCGCATACAAGGTGCGATCAACGTTTCGACGGCATTTCCTGCCGTCTGGAAAACGGGATATGTGGGAGTCTGGTACACGATATTGCTGGTGCGAGGTAGTGTCAGTTACATAGTCCACAGCGATTCAGCCTTACAAGAAAGTTTGGCATTGAAACCTTGTTAAACGCCGTGGCTTGCTGCGTTTGTTTCAAGGTTGGCGCAGTTTCAGGCTCAACAAGCATCGGTGTCTGCCGGCCATGGGCCGACGGAGGCTGGGAGTTGTTTTGTTTCCTCGCCTTTCCCCCGGATAGTCGGTCGAAGTGGAGTCGGGGGATCTGCTCGACCACATACCGAGGGTGGTGGTAAATGGCGGTTCCATTTGGGGTATAAGTGCCACGTTGAAGCCATCGTGTCACTGAGGTCGGTTTTGAGTTTGGACTCGCTTTGATCCCTGCGTCGATGCCCCTAAATCGAATATATCTACAGTACTTGTTGTACACTTATAAATCGGCCGAGCAAGTTCGGAGCCGTTGCTCCGATACCTTGCTGCAATGAGATGGGCACACAAAGAAAAGGAACATTCCATGACAAAACCTTCGACGGTGAGCTGCAGATGGGATTCTATCGCTTTTTGAGTCGTGTGCTCTGTCGTCCAATTGGATCATTTTCATCACGAATAGGCCAATCAATCCTCAGCCCTATAACATCAAGATCGAAGGATCGCATCCACGTTTCGCTACGAAGCGCACATCACGATGGCGGGCTGTCGGTTCCTTTGGCGGAAACGGAACTGCGAGATTAGCTTCGATTTTCAGGGTTGTGGGACCCGTGTTGCAACCTCACTGAAAGGAGGATGGTTGCCGTTGAAATTCCTGAATCGTGCTCAGCGGTCCTTGCGCTTGCCTTTGCATTTGGCCGAAGTAAGACAGACAAATGGTGTGCGTGCTTGCGGACTTTACGGACGTGGCGTGGGAAACGTGGCTTTTGGATACGATGGATGTTGTGTTGGAAGGAAATGAAACGTTCTGGAAGCGTGTTCGACGTGGTCCTTTAATTTGCTGGATGATCGCGGTAGTTGGCGCCGCAAAAGGGTGGAGGATCGATGGTCTTGTTGCCAGAAACTTAGCGCATCCCGTCCTAGTTTGTGAACAAACCCGAAATGGCGGCGAATGCAACAATAAATTGGATGTCTGATGATACGCTAAGCACGACACAGGACAGTGATGCTCAAAGGGGTCAGTGAACAGTCTCCAGGGTCGAACCTTGACTGTGCACGTGAGCAAAGGTATTTGCGTTGCTGATGCAAGTCAACGCGGAGAGACGGACGACGAGATTGAATGGGTTCGGCAGTCCGCGAGTCGGTCTCATTCAAAGGCGCTCTGGTGGATAGCTTAAATTAGATGATGCACATTGCGGAAGCCGATGGGTACAAGCTTCACGTCAATGGATGACAGTCGCTCGTCAAACGGACCAGTCAAGACGGCCGGCATGCAGCTCCGAGAAGTCGCTAGGCTGGCCATTCATGGTGAGATTGGAGGAGTTTGCCGGACGTTCAGCCTGTCGCAAAGCTGCGTTTTGCAAACAGATCGATGTCCCTCTTTTTTCGAACTGAGGATTGAGGTCCCGAGGTCATTGGCAGGATCTGCGAGTGAGGCTTAGAGTGGAGGAGGGCGATCGGCCACGCGTAAACAACCCTTGCCCACAAGGCGGGATCTTGCAGGCATGAGATGAAGAGGAGGCCTGACGAGCCGAAGTACCTCCTGAACTCTCTCTCTCTTCTCGCAGGCATGGAGAGCACCGACTCCGGCCTCCGCCCGCCATCATCAGCAGCAACATCGACGCTGCGGCTTCCCAGGTTCGACAATTGTCTGATGATTTGACAACTGGTCAGCAAAGGGGTGCGTGTGCATGTGCGTGGAGGGCTCGCTCCCGCGTGAAACATACCCGCGACGGCGCCAATTCTGCTCGTAGGCGTGTTCACCTTTGCTCGCGGATTCCTGGGGGGGAGGGGGGGCCTCCGCAGCTCAACTTTGGGAGCATGCCTAGTAGGTAGCTAATGCTGGCAGGTGGTGGGCAGGCAGAGAGTTGTGGCGCAATGGAACGCCGTCGACGCCAAGGCCAGCTGGGTGAGAGAGAGGGTTCAGGTGGCCACCAGGTGTGGTCGCCGCACTATCCAAGGTACGAATTTCGCCGCCATGCAGCCGGGCCTATGCGCGCTGTAGATCCACCAAAAGTACTCCGTAGATCTGTAACAATCAGCTACAGACTTCGGAAATCGGACACTGGCTACTTTGCTGTCATGTCTCCTCCTAGCTCCCTCTCTCTCGCCCCCCCTGCTCCATGGATTTGACGACTGTTCGCCGGCGTGGCGCTGTTGGCGAGTTCCTTTTTGCTTCCCACACTGCCCCGAGGCTTTGCCAATGGTCAGAATGTGGCTTCTCTGTATTATCCTCACTCTTCTTCGCCTTCTTCTTCTTCTTCTTCTTCTTCCTCCTTCTTCGGCATACATACAGCTACGCCAGCACTTGCGTCTGGTCCCCCCCCCCACTAGGTACGCCTCTGCCCTAGGACCTGTCCAACGTAGAGCCTTCTTCCGACTATCTCAGAAAGTGACGCCGCTCCTTGTGAAAGCTGCCACGGGCGCCACTTTATTGACCATCTTTTACTCTCCCTCAAAGCTACCCTCTCTTTTTTCCTCTGTGTCTAGTGCCTAGGCTTACAAATTGGCCCTCTTTCGCACTTCCTGTTCTGCCTCGGACCGAACGCTTCACTTCGCTCCTGCATATACTTCATACAGCCAGTGCGCAACAAGACAGTGCATCGTGACGAACGCCAGCGTCCGTTTAGGCCGTTAAGCTACCGGAACGCAAACGTTAAGCTGTTTGAGACGATCTCTTAGCTCGAGGTCTCCACGACGTCCGACTCGTGGGAACGCGGATCTGTTTGCAAGGTATATCCTTCGAGCATTTCACACCCAACTGTCGCCTTACCATCATCACCCACCAACCACAGGGGTCTCTACGTGAGTTTTACCAGACCAACTACTGTCACTTTTGGTGGCTACGTGTCTGTCAGGCACCCTTTTCTTCTCCGCCATTGCGACATCGGGAGATTCCTGTTTCGTCATTCACAGCTACCTTGCCCAACACCCTCGTCGTACTGTAGCGAGGATATCCTGGAAGTTGCTCGCGCATCAACCGAGGCCTGGTCCAACTACGTCTTTTCTGGAGCATTGGGCTCCATTGGCGCGGTCTGTTGTCGACGTGCCTACTCTAGGGCTGCGTTTATATCCAAACCATCTGGACTTCAGCACTCTCCCCGATACCCCAAACGTCGTCCATATACAGCTCCAAGTACGATCGATTGCAGCAGCCCAACCCTTCTCTCGCACACCTGTCCCGCACACGCAGCTCTTCCTCGTGAAATCCACGTCACGTATCTCACCGCAGCCCTCGCCTCTGCCGAATCTTGCGCTGCCAGTCTCCTGTCGCTCTGCAAGCCTACAAGCTGGCAAATTACGCAACGCCGCCAGTCTCCCCATTGGGGCATCGGGCACTTGAGCCGCCCTTTACTTTTCAAATCAAGGGTAGGCTGGGTGGGATGGATGAGCGTCGTGCCCGTCAAAACCCTTCAGGTTACGCAAACCAGCAGCAAGGGCTACTTGCCCCAGAGGCTTCATATCCTGGCGTGACCGCACCCGACCGCTTCAGACAGGCGCCCTTAACCGCGTCTGCACCTACCACCCTGCCTTCGTCGGGCAGCCGCGCACAAGGCTACGCCTACGCCTATGGAGAGGGTTCCCAATTCGCCTCGTCCATTCAGCCCTCGGGGGTTTCGTACAGCGCACAAGATTATGCTTCCGAGCAGCAACAACAGGCGCAGCGACCCACACAACAATATACGCCATACGGACAAAACGTCATGTATGGTGTGTCTGGCACCCAGGGCTCTGCGCCAGGGTCGTCACATTATGAGCCTGTGGAACCTTACCAGCAAAACAGGGACTCGGCGATACAAGTTCTGAGCACCGGCTTTGGTGTCGCACCAGCAGCGCAGCCATACTATGAGGGTGGGCCCACGAGCGCGCCTGCGCCTTCAAGCGTTCCCTCACAATTCTCATCACTAGCATATACCGCAACGCAAACCCATGCTGGGCGAGAATCTCTCGCACCAGCTTACACCGCCTCTGGAATGACAGACCCTCACTCCTCTACTCAAGGGAGCTATTCTCAAGCTTTCAACGAGCCGCACGGCAGCGGCAACGAGTACGATGACTTTTACAACAACTATCAGACAGAACTGAAGAAGACGTTTGAGTGTGTGCGTGACAGCCGACTTAGTGAGGCCGGGTCTCAGCTGTACAGGCTGTCAGACTGGCTCTTGCATTGGGCCGAGACACTGGGTGAGCATTCTCCATGAAATGAAAAGGGATGAGCAGCTGAATTGACTACAGGCCTAGTGCGCGACGACGAGACACACTACCAGCAGCGGCTGAAGCTATGGGAGGAATTCAATACGTGCTGGCTCGCCACGCTGCAGAAGCAGAAAACAGCCACGCAAGATATGATCAGCACAGGACAGCGCCCTCAACCGCCACAGTCTCTTATTGATTACGACACACTTGAGAAGATGGGTACACAGCTAGTCAAAAACTGTGATGCCATGGAGAAGCACGGCCTCGTAGACTACCAAATGGGCGTATGGGAGGAGGAGATTGTCGCCAGTAAGCTGCCCCACCACCATTGGAACCACCTCTCTAATATGCCCTGACAGTGTTAACTTCCTGCCTCGACCTCCTTGAAGAAGCTGGTGGTGGCTCTTCCGCACAGCGCCCTACCTCGACAGCACGCAGACGCTGAAATCCATCGAGCCAAGGTTGAAAATCCTTTGTGGCCTCGACTAATACCTGGATATCCCCTCTTAGCCATGGTACCAAAGTCATAAAAAGCGAAACCTTCCAGATCTGACGGGCCACGGTATCCAAAATCAACTACTATGGCGTCATCATTCAATGTAGGGTCACGACTCGATGACAATTTCGCACCATTTCTCTTTCTTCTCTTTTTTTTCGTAAATCTACTCGTCCATTCCGCAACGCTTCATTTTCCTGCATTTCTTCTTTTCAACCAATAGACGGCGAAAGTCATTGATTCATTTTCGAGGGTGGCTATCTGCACTTGGGTTTTCCAATATCTCAAGTAACTACCTGGGCGCGTATGTCTACTTTTTTCTGACGTACCCTACCGCAGCGCCAGCTTGCATCATTGATTTTCCTTTGTTGCCACCGTTTGGCTTTCCTATCTGGCTGGGTCACGCGCATATGGGTCAAAAGGAGAAGTTTATACGAGATTAATGGCAGGTATCACGCGTTATTGGAGGCTGAGGAAAGCTGATTGTTGCTAGAATGGATGCACGTTTCACTAGCACGGTGAGGTTTGCATGTTCTGGATTGCAGTGCTGGCTTGCTTTTTTGGTTTTTCTTTTTGGTTTCTTTTGGATTGTATAATGCTAGGTCGGAAGGGGCCGGTGCAGGCGTTGGCCAATTTCCGCTGGAATGTACGATAATGTCTTCAAACATGAGCCGGATGACTGGTATTGTAGAACTTAGGTTTGAATGCAGGGATAGTGACACCAAGTTTTGGGCCCAGATACTGCAGTGGTTTACGAGGGAGTACAATTCAGCTGGACGTATTGACATTGGGCGTGAAATGGCTGTCATGCATACCCGTCACGCTTGAAAGGCCTGTTTGGCCAACCATAATGGGTAGGGTTGTAGGTAGGGCGTACTCTAGGGTTAGGTAGGGCGCCGATGTGGTTGGGCAGCATTTTTATTTTTTTTTGGTTCTACCGTACGATAGACTTAGGTAACGCTGTAGAGGCAACATTGCCGCGATATCCCAAGCCTTTCCTCCAGCAGCGTACCACAGTATGGTAGTGTGTTAACGACATCAGCGCAGGACGCGTTTGCATCTGCATCATGGTGGAATTCGCAGCTTTCCTTGGATGCTTGTTCGTGTTTGGCAGGGGGTTACCGGTAATTTTTCCCACTCATGTTCCTTGTCGCCTCACCACAATCCAGATCCCATCTCCACTTCGCCAACACACGCTATTGCCAGCCTCACATATTGTTGCGCCGAAGACTGCAGAGGCTCCCTTGTATCTATTCGACGACTTATACCGACCCACAGGTCTCGATCCTGTGCGGCAGCACTGGCCCCTGTCCAGTCCAGATATGCCTCGAGGCTTCACGACGAATCAAGCCCTGACCACAGCCACGGGAACTGGCAACCGGATCTACATCTGTACATGTATACATGGTCAGGAGTGGCATGGTCCATGATCCATCGCCAATCAACGCCATCCAAGCCATTGCACCATTTACATGCCATGATACATACCTAGTACCTCAGCCCTTGCAGCACATCAGTCATGATGCCGGCTAGATACTCCAAGTGGAACGACGATCATACAGATCGCGAGGACAGGTGCAGCATCTCACAAACATTTGCGGGGAACGCCACAGCACACCACAGGTCATGCCGTACAACAGCCGTGCTTTCATCAGAAGCCACTCGCTTCATTGGACATACAGACCCTTCACACGACACAGAGTGCCCTGAAGCAGTTGGCGCACAGTCGTACTTTTCTTCTTCCCCGCTTTTTCAACACCAGACGACCCCCAGCCTCAGAAGCCTTGCACGGCCGTGACAAATTGCATGACTACATACAGCCACCTATCTATCGCCCAGAGAGGCATTGCTTGCTTTTGGCCCAAAGCTGACAAGGAGAAGTCATGAGCTATCTTGTATGGATCCTGCCAACTCCAAGCGAAGTTGGCGCGACCGCCAGCCTCTAAGCCTCCACCAATAAGTGCCCCTGTGCGGATCCTGTTCCTGGGAGACGAGCCGGTCGTCTCCCTCATGCTGGGAGCAGACGTCAGAGCCCTGGCGCCTCTGCACTCTCCACAGGATAGCTCGAGTCCCGAATCACAGTGGCCGCCTCACCTTTCTTTTGCCATCATCCGCCCTATTCTGGCATCGACCGAGTAGGTACAGCGCATGGCGTTGATATGCATGACCTGCCCACCCATGATGCCTTCCTCCTGCCAAGTTGTCCTGGCGAATCGAAATTCACGCCCTTGCTCAAAGCAAGGGTGAAAGGTGCTCAAGGACGGTAATACCTTGCTTTCAGAACCCTTGGATAGAGCCTCGCATGGCGAGTCAGCTCATGCTATGTACGGGAGAAGGGATCATAGTTCCACAGACATGTACTTGCCAGGGTCATCTCAGATACAACCTGCCAGGATTCTCTCGAGCACGACACAACCCTGCCACTGTTCGCACCTTGGGTATCGAGACACTAGCGCTATGGGATATTGCACATGAGACCTATCACTGTGATCGGCGCGAGTCGTAGCACACACCCACGGATTTGGGAGGGCATGGTACAGTCACTTCCCGGGAAGCCTGTCCGGACGTCTCTTGTCACCTGATGAGCACAGTACATCACGCTGATTCAAATTGCACTGCGAGACCCCAACACGACTGCCGTCCGCATCCCAGCACGGCTTGTGCATTGACATTTCAAAAATAGACTGTCCTTAGAAGAGGCACTTGGGCGAACTGTTGGGCCCACGCAACATGTCGCCTCACTAGTTGGTGATCGACACTGCAACGCCAAACACCTCATTGGGCTCAGCCAGCCATGGACGGAAGGATTGTCAACGCTGCCCATCACTACCAGGTGTTTCAGTTCTCATGACCATGACCATGCGCACTCGCTCGGTCGGTCCACATGTTGAACCCCCCCTCCGCACGATTCTGACGTGTATGCAGATCGTGCAATCCACTCTACCTAGCACAAACAGCGGGAGCCGGGAGTAAAAAAGCTCCGAAAAGGTCCTCTGGGCAAAATCCAACATTGAGGCGAGCCGACTGACACGTGTTGACAGAGTTGTACAGACATCCATGACAGCTGCATGTCATTAGGCTTCTTGCACAATGATGGGAACGCTGGGGTCGCGCACTCGGGCTATTCATGGCCGACGCCGAAAGTTACCAACTCGAGGTATGACATCTGACAGAACCTTTGCACGTCGGTGTGCACTTTTGATGAATTTTCGTATCGGATTGTATCGAAGAAAAGCCGACTTCTTTGGTGTTTTGAGGATCAAGCGGTCGGCCGTGAGGTGTAGCATCAGTCCGCTCGCATTCGGTGTAATACAGTATCTAGTAAGAAGGTAAACCGATCTGCAGGGGTTCTCTACAGCATCCTACAATATGATTTTGTTGTTCTATACATAACTATGTAGATCCACACAGAACATAGTGCTTATTTAGAACGGTTCTCCGGACCACATCAAGAGTTGTGTTGCCAAAGGAGTACGTGCATGGGAAACACCAAGTCCACCCTCTTTCACATCCCCGTTTTTACATAGCCAGAATAGCCATGGACTTCCTGAACGCCTGCTGACTATTCATTTCCTCCCCCTTTGCTGCTAGTCATTTCCCACTCCACCCGTCACTGTTCTCTTCTTCTGAAAATCAAATCGCCCACGAGCTCATATCCACAACACCCAAGTCCTCTCTGTCTCCTTACACATTAACATGGGAATTTCGGATTACAAGACAAGTGTTTTACAAGTCACACAGTCAAATTATACCACTAGCAAAGTAGTACCATAGACCAACGTGGCGCACCAGACAGCGTGTGTTCATCTACAAAAGATGCAATATCAAGTCGCGATATCTTTCCGCACCCTACAACTGGTCACAAAGCTTCTACTTCTCTAGGCAGAATAATTGGGAATACTGCACCATATTCCACTAATCTCCCTTAAAATAAGTCCAAGGACTGGAGCAATGTTTCTTCAATACGCAACATACCTTTATTTGCATTGCTGAGTATTAGGTAGGATTCGGCATGCGCAATATAAAGTAGAAGTTGTCAGAAGGGGATATTTGAGTATGGATTAGTCCACCAGCCCAACATCTTTGGAGCACACCAAGAATGCCAACAGGGAATCGAACCTTGTACACCAGGCTTCAGCAATGCTCAATAGTCGTGAGCTGAAGGAAGGGCAAAAGGAGGAAAAGATATTGCGGGAATGATTTGACTTGCACGTTCTCCGCAGTGATCTCTACTGCTTCACTGCTAGCCAACGACCACCACTTGAAGATGTTGCACTTCACAGCGAACAACCAGCCTAACGATGTAACCTTACCCTTTCCCAAAAAGAGATCCTCTTCCTTACTTTGAGAGCAAGTTCCAGAGTACCGTCCGTGCCATACACTCGCTATGACCTCACCCATACCAATACATGTTCATGGCCCCATCTCAGCAGACCTCCTACCCATATATATCCTCCTTATTTTTGTCCCTCTCCTCAACGTGTACTTCTTCTTCATCGGAACCGTCTGCACACGCATTTGGTTTTACAAAGGCTCTCTTGGCCCCGAACCTGAGAAGTTCCTCATCCTACACAAAGAGCTCAAAGACCGATGTCGAAAATCACTGTTATCCCCAGGCACAGCTGTGTCCGAGCAAGATGATACGGGCACAACAACGAGAAGGCTAAATATACGCGGCACTATGTTCCGAACCCCAGTACAACGCCACTAGAAGAAGAAGACGGTACACATGCCGTTGAACCACCTCGCACAATAACCTCCCATCTAGCATGCAAGACTCAGCCTAGGAAGAAACAAATAGTCCGAATGAAGCCAAACTCGACAATTGTCAATTCCGCCGCCATGTAAAGTTGAAGAATGAGGTTGGGTCTGCCCCATTACTTGCTGTATGCCAACGCACGGGCCCCTTAGGTACTAGCGCCGACTAGGTACCGGTAGATTCCCACGTCGACAGCAATCGCAATGATGCCAACCAAAAGATCACCAACACACGCTCATGAACGCTGTTCCACATTGAAGCATGATCCAGCGGGCTACCCACCCAACATAATGGACAGGGCAAAAACACGCAAATCACACAAAAAGTCAAGGAATGGATGCTTGCCGTGCAAAAGTCGGCATGTCAAGGTACGGTAGGAGAAGCTCCCTCTCTGCGTTGCCCCCATTTAGGCAATTCCGGCACCAAGTTGGGGTTACCCAGGCTGACTGGCATTGCTAGTGCGATGAACAACAACCGAGTTGCGCGAATTGTGTGAAACAAGGTACTGTGTGCGAATATCGACCTATGAAGAGTTGCACGAGTAGGGAGGCCTCGAATGATGGATCACCAATGGCAGTGACTACGCCTACTTTGGCGCCTACTCCTCCAACGACGAATAAGTCTACAAATCCGCAGAGGCCGGGCTCATCGACAGACTCGTCAGGCGATTTTAATGTTGAGCTCAACGTAGTGCAATTGCGTCTAATGCAGTGAGTTCGATTTGGTCATTTCAGAATAACGGTAGTGACGGAGCGTCATGGCTCAAGCCTGATCAAACTCATGGTTACCTTTCAATTGACTATGCACACAGTCACTATACGACCATTACCGCATCTACACTTGCAAACAGCCGTGATTCGGAACAAGTCTTTGTAACAACGTTGGTTGAGCTTGCTTTCAACCATGCCTATCTTCTACATGCCACTCTTGCCATCACCGCATTACACCTGTCCCATCTCCAGGACCCAGGTTCACCGCAAAAGCGGGACTATCGGATCCTTGCCGAAAAACACCACGAAGCAGGCCTGAATGCGTTCCAAGCCATGGTCAAGGACATTGATCGCTCAAACTTCAAGGCTGTCCTACTATTCACAAACGTCTTGTTTCCCTACTCATGCGTTACCTCCATCACTGCGCGAGACAATATAGACCACGCATTTGAAAGCGTACTCGCAAACCTCGTCCTAACCCGGCGAACACGACCCATGGTCACGAGCTTCTACGAAGAAATGAAGGAAAGCGAACTCGGTCGCATCATACCCGCCGGTAGGATTAGCACCCCAAGTCCACATCACCATCATGATCTAACTCTCCCCCTCCTGCCCAGATGTCCGAGACGTCAACTGGCCCGAAGCCGAAACCCCCCCAACCACCGAACTCACCCAACTCCGCAAATTCGCCACCCTAATCCACCACGTCTACCCCGCCGACATCACAGACGCCTACGGCCACGCCATCCACTTCCTCGACCTCACCTTTGACGTCGCCAGCCGCAGCCCAGCCCCGCCCTCAGACGCCCTGCTCAAAATCTGGATCCACTTTGTCTCAGACCGCTACATGCACTTGCTGACAGACCGCCAACCAGGCTCCCTCATCATTTTTGCTCATTTCGCAGTCCTCGTGCATCGCTGTCGTCACTATTGGTTTCTGTCTGGCCTCGGGCGCCAGATTCTTGCTCTTGCAGAGGCGCTGGTGCCGGCGGAGTGGACTGCGTGGTTGGATTGGCCCAGGGCCCAGGTTTTCGGGCCCGGGGAGGCCGTTGTGACAGCGGGATTGGGTTCCGGGGCGTCTACATGAGCGTGCTGGGGCACGGGAGAGGCATGGAGGGTGGATAGGGGGTAGCGGTTATCGGGTTTTGGGTTTTGTGCTTTGGACGGACGGGGTCTTGGGATGCACGGCGTTGTCAGGGGGGGGGGGGCGGGTTCACCCCTATTAAGCTTGATCCTGTCATAAAG